CCACCCCCAGCTGCCACTGCCAAATGCCACATCCAACATGCAACATCCTGCTGCAAGCTGACATAATGCGCTATAAAAGATGGGTATTGCAAATTACTGCACTGCTTTGTAGTCTATGAATGGGCATGAATGTGTAGCAAAGCTACTGGTTAATATACGTATCTGCCACTTATTCAGTTGAATGATACGTGATGGGCGTTTCACTTGGTATACTATTTGTATCTGCAGCAGACCGACTTAAACCAAAGAGTATTTCAAGGTTGGACTAGTTAATTTGTAGGCTTATAACTATTTGACAGTACAAGGCTGATAGAGAACAACGAGCTCCCACTTTTTGAAGGATTTAATCCGGTTTGGCTACGCTCCGTTCTAAGTATTCCGTTCAGTTCGTGGCTGAAATGCATATCTGGGTCAGCTGTTGTTTGGCCGTTTGTTCGGCTTGCATAAGCCAGTCCGGCGGCATGAAAACCCCCCATTTCAGCCCCAAACCCAACCCAACCCCGTATTTCAACCCTGCCGTGTTTGGTTAGCTGCTGCAAATGAGGAAGCCTAAAATAGCAAGCCAAACGCGTTACGTGTTGGCGTCGCACTGCACAAAGTTGCAGCAGCAGCAGCAGCCACAGCAGCAGCAGCAGCAACAGCAGCAGCAGCAGTAGCAGCAATCGATTGCAGGGGTCCGGTTACCAACATTTTCCTTCTCGGCTCACAGTTTTTAGCCGTTTGTTGCGTTGATAAGAACGTCGACGAAAGCGAAAGCGAAAGTCACTGTGCTATAAGATGTGAGCCACAATTAGCGCCCAGCTGCAGCACTCTTACCACCTCGGCTGTTTAAAGGAACAACTCGCTAGTGAATTACCTGCAAAATAACAAATGCACAAGATATTTATTTATAAATGTGCTAGGTCTGTGTTAATGAAACAAAAATAGTTCAAGTTAATAGTGGCACTTCCAAAATGCAGCGACCCTCGTCGAATATCTCCAGTAACATCATGAACCGCATGTCCATCTTTGAAAGTGAGTGAAGACAAGAGGCTGCCGCGTGAATAATTCATCGCTTATATATTCACGCATTTGTTCATTTATTCCAATTGTTCATTTATTCATCGCTGCTTGAAGCCATTCTTGTGGGCAGACAAAGAGGTGCACACTTCTCCCAGTCAGTGAAATCGTGTCCATTTCTATTTGTTTGGCTTTTCCACCGACTTGGCTCTCGGAGATGGTGTAAAATGATTAGGTACTGCCACTGAACACGGGTAAAAGTGTGGAAAATTCGGAAAAGACATGTCGTCACACACGCTTGATAAGATGATAAGATTGTCTTTCAGCCTCAGGAGTAAGTATAGTTTGAAAGGAACTTAGGTGGCAGAAGACTTTTAAGTCCAAACAAATATAAAAATCTTGCTCTAAAGCAATTTGCTTGCTGAAGTGCTCAGTTTTTAAAGGAGATTGCCCTTTGCGAAGCGTATCGCCCGATCTGAGCCAGTTAACCCTTCCACGACAATGGCTTGCCTTTAACTGTGCTGTCATGGCTTGTTGGTCTCCTAACCTGGTTAAACGACTAGGCCGCTTCAAAGAAAGCGTTCGCTTGGAGACTGCACATGATAATAATTCCAGAGCCCTATGCCATGTCATAAATTGTGCCCACAATGCACTGCTATGCTGTCTTGATTTATGTGGCTTAGAGTGGGTCGCTCCGGTCATTCGGGGAAAACAAATGGCATATAATTAGCCTGGGTGGAGTTGTCTGGATTGGTCTGTCCACGCCGGGGTGGGGTTGTCTTCGACTGCGGCCCCTTTTGGAGTTCCCGCCGTTTATTTCACTTGCGTTCATTTCACACCCAAACCCCACAGCACATGTGCAGCTCATTAACCCACATGGAAGCAAGTTGCGCACAATTTTCTAACCGACTGGTGGCGTGGGGGGTTAAGGCGGAGGTCTGGCGGGTCGAACCACTCGATTGCGCAAGTGAAAACTTGTTGTACGGCGATGGACATCGTAAGTGAAGTGAGGCCTTGTCTGGAACTGATTGAAATACCCTCGCTATGTGGGGTATTCCAGTTCAAGGGAGTGGTTAAGATCTCCACTGATATGTGTCTTCTTTCTATATGTGAGGGTTCCTCAGATCCTAAAACTTTTGTATGGTTGAGATCTCCACTGATCTATGTGTCTTTTCTATATGTGATTGTTCTTCAGATCCTAAACCTTTTGTATTGAAGTGTTCATATTTCCCACTGTAATATAAATATTAAAAACATCAATTGAAGCTCTATGGCAGCGAAAAAACAAGGGTATTCAAAACTCATTGGGCCCTTCTCCGTGATTTTTCCGCATTTCCTTTTTTGTTGGCTAGCAGAATACCTCGGACCAGACATCACTGTATAAATGGAAATGCAAATTACGAGTTCGGCATCGGCGACTGCTGTTTCGTATTTGATGTCGAAGGAAAATCAATCAAAACGGATTTGCTAGCGATTTCCGATTGGGCCACATATGGGTCATCATGGTATAATGCATAATGCAAGCTGATAAAGCTGGTTTTGTCATATTTTAACCGCGGGCTTCAAAATGCTAAAGGTTGACCGCTGAAGACCAGGGTTTCCATGGCCATTGGAAGCGGCAAACAAGAGATTTGTTCGCGGCGCTTTGCTGTACAAATCTTGAATGTTTTTCCTTTGAATCAGCCATAATTTAGTTGAATTGTCTGAGACGACTGATGAAATTGATTGATTGATTGTGGAACGCGAGCTCGGAGCGGGGATGGCAATTAAGGTTGGTTAACCCTTGAAGAAATGTTGAGACTCGTGTGAACTAGTTTGCCAATTGTATTTTGCTTTCCGAATGATTGGGAAGTATATGGGAAGTATGATAGACATTGAATAAAAAGGGTTTGCAATTGGATATCTGGGTTCAGCCCAAACTTATTAGGATTTGCATTTGGAAATTATCTCTGATTTACAGCAATGTAATCCCATTTAGATGGTGCCTTTTTGGCACAGTTCCCTGTTGCACCAGTCAGCACTTCTTTGCAACATTGTACCCACTTAACCCACTGCGATTTTCATCTCAGTCGCGAAGCCATTTCAGCCATGTCATTGCCCTTTCAGCGCTATTTCGTTTTATTTATTTTCCTCTGTCCCTTATCATCGGCTATTAATCTAGTTTAGGCTTTGGGCTTCGAGCCACTAACTTGTTCGCCGCGATGTGGGTTAATATGACGGGTGAGCAACAGAAGTTCATCGCTGGTGACGGTTCAGTAAAAAATGTACAAAAGAACAGCACAACCAGAACAAGAGGAATACGGTCGGAAAGAACTTTACCGCTGACTTGAATCGAGTTTCTTTTCTCTGCTACTCATATTTTGCTATACGGGTTTACAGCTGTTGTTGTGCGCTGCTCTCTTTTATTTATTTATTTTTTGTAATAACAAATTGACAATGACATGAATGGGGAGAAATATTTAACCTTAATAAACGACGAAGACGTCGCAGCTTTGGACGTCTTTTGTTGGTTTTTGTTGGGTTCTCGAGCGGTTGTTGCGTGCATTGTTGGGTGGCTAAGGCCCGAACTGATTTGTGAGGGGAAGGCCAAGTGCCAATTTAACTTGGCACAGTGGAACAGTGGGACATCGGCCATGGGCACTCAGAAAATATATAGCCAATTATAACTTAATCAGGTTGTTTTAGGCCGAGCCTAATCATCATTATTGAACATTTGAATCCGGGTTTGTTTGACTGCTCACGATAATACTAAGCGTGCTATGAAAGGAAATCAGTTTTTTCAGTGTAGCCACAAGTAGGAAAGAATGCGAACCCATTCACTAATCTCTGAACTCTGCATCCATCTTTCAGATACGGCATTCAGACACAGTCTGGCGGACGCTGACAACGCGGCCGGAACGATGATGTCCATGACCAGCTCGCCGCCGGCCACGCCCACTGGCGTCCAGACGGACTCCGACGGGCTGATCCTGCCCAAGAAGCTCATCAATCCCTGCATGGAGAACATCGATCGCAAGGAGCTGCACCGGGAGCTCAAGTTCAATGCCAGAGTGTGAGTAGATGGGCTTAAAAGTTTCTGTATTAAATATAATGGTTTCTACCCATTCCAGCGGCAAGAGCGTGCTCAACCAGAAATCGGAATTGCAACGTGCCTACGACAAACAGAAGGAGCGGCATGCCGCCGCCGAGCAACATTCGCCGGATGCGGACATCGTCGGCGGGATTCCGGGACTGAAGGGAGAGCTCGGGCGCGTGATCATGGAGCGGGCGCAGAAGCACGAGGCGGCGGCCCAGAAGCAGGATCAGGAGGACGCCGAGGAGCGGCAGTACGTGAATCCCGAGTATCTGAACGTGCGGGCCAAACTGCGCACGGCGCACGCCAACAATTAAGGAGCAACCCACTCGGATATCCCTCATCCTGTAATCCTCAGCCTAATTAATGTTTAGTTTTAGTCGCAGACCTAACCAAATGATGTGTATGGAAATTATGTGTTTTATATGTTAACTTTGTGAGCGGTTTTCATTTTGATATTATGCAAAACTAGTTGGTTATTATAATTAAAATGTACACCTAGACTAAGCCATTTACTTGTTTAGTTTGTTAGATCCTATTACTAACCTAAGTTAAAGCCTTTTGCGCTAAATTCGTTGTGTATAAACCAAGTGTATAAAGTTTTAGTTTCTAAATGGACCCCCTTCTTCCAAAAACAAAAAACAAAAACAAAATGGAAATTTATGTATCTAGTGTAGAGTTATGTATATGTATATCTATAACTTAGTGCGATCGAGAATGCTGTAAACAGGGCAATGTGTTAGAAAATAAGATAGAGAGACAGACAGAACTTGGGCGGAAGATATTTGATCTAAATAGAACTACTATTTTATGTCAAGCTAAGAAATTGAAACAGATTACAGAACTATATACAACATATATCTATATACAAATTTAGTTTCTGGAATTAATAAATTTTATTGTAGGCGAAAAGTTATAAAACCAATTTCAATGTATAAACATTACTGGATTTTTCAATAAGGATTCTCTTGGCAGGAATGACACTATTCTTCAGATTTTTTGTTTTTTCTGGCCAGCTTTTTATCCAATTTCGCCTGCTTTGCGGCAGCCTTCTTCTCCTCCTTCTGCCTCGCCAATATCCTGGACATCCGTTTAGAAACTCGTGCCTGTGAGTGGGAAAGTGTAGTTTCCATTATAAATTGCATTTGCGTTTAAAGTTGCATATCTATCACTCACAGCTGACAAACGGGCACGTTCCTTTTCCAACTCCTTCGCAATCTTCTCGCGCACCTCCTCTATTTTCAGATGGAAGTCCTCAACCTTTTCCTGGTAGGACCTCAGGTCTTCCTTGCACTTGCTCACCCGGTTGATGGTCACCTGCAACTTAGTCTCGGCCGTTTCCATGTCGTCGTCGTAGGCCTGTTGAACCGCATTGATGCGGTTCTTGTACTGTTCGATCAGTGTGACGTACTCCAAATGGCAGCTCCTCCACACACTCATGTCCTTGGTCGTCAGCTCTGCGATCTTTTCTAGCTCGTCGGAAAGCACCTACATAACAAAGGCACAGGTATCTCAGATATCTCAGATGAGTTATAAGATCTAAGCCAAACCTTGCAGCGTAGGAAGTCAATGTACTGCCCCTGTTCCACAATATCGTGGGTCCAATTCACCTTATAGCGCGACTCGATTGGGTTCATGACTGTCCACGATAGACAAAGATGCTGAATGTCCTAGGCAAGTTATTTAGATTGAACAACTTACAGTCGATCTGAAATCGTTCCTTGTTAAGTGCATGCTGCTTAGCCGTTAGCTTGGGATTGTGGAACTTTCCCACCCGGTTCTTTTTTTCCTTCTCCTCAAGTAGTGAATCGTGTTCGGCCATTATTGTCTCGTAGGGCAGGGCTATCAGCTTGTCGATATCCACTTGGGTGTCCCTTGGGAATATGTTCTCTTTTAGTGAATCACGCTTATAAAGATCTTACGTGCTTAAGGAATGGGTCAAGCCTTAAAGTATGCAAATACATTTACCGCCAACTCACTTAAGACGCTCCATGAAGCCGTGCGGAGCGCAGAGATCCCTGTCGTGGATCACATCGTCTAGGAGTGCCTGTACCAGGCCGATCAGCTCTCCCAAATCCACGTAAAACTTAAGGTCGTCAAGCGTGGCCTCCGGCTTGTTCTTCTCCAGAATGTCCACATACACTGTACTCGGCTGCTGTTCAAAGCGCTTTAGATTCTCCTTGTAGGACCATCCGAAGATAGTGTCGTTGGGATTGGTGCCAGCTGGCGGATACTCCCGCATCACGTTGAGGATCTCTTGCAGCTGCAGCAGCTGGTAGATGATGCACACGTTCCGGAAGTCGGATATCAGGTTGGCGAAGCGCACCTTGAACATTTGGGTCGTCTGGGCTGCCGAGTCCCGTTGCTCGGGACTGAGGATCGACTTGGTACTGGTCCTGGTTAAGGTGGCCTGGGCCATGTAAACGGTGGCCCGTGCCGAGTAGTCCATTTTGTACATCTTTGCCAGGAACGCCTCGTTCGTATCGTCACTAGATTCGTCCCCGGGGGAATAGCGGGTCATCTTTACGGCTCGAGCCACCTGTTTGGTCTCCAGGACATATGGCTCCAGGAGCTCCTTCACGAACGCATCGTGGCACATATTTTCCGGTTTCGGCGGAAGCGGAAACAGGCTAAGGATTTTCTCCCTGTACTCCTGTGGTGAGTACTTCTTGGGCTCCACCTTGTGGGAGTTCATTTCAGGAGTTTCAGGCAGTTCAGACATTTTATGGTGCTTTCTGTGCACCTTGTCGATTGTGAATTGTGTCTTCTACTCTGATTGTGTTGAGTGTTAGTGTTTTAGTAACGACAGCTTCGTTTTCCGTAATTCCAAAGTCGACTTTATAACAAACTGTGTTTAGTTCTCTGACAATTTTTAGATTTAAGATCACTGGAAATTCAATGATTTCATCCCCAGTCTGTGATAATAATATAGAACATCACCAAACCGTTTGCAATGGTGTGTCATTTAGTGGACACTTGGAACTAGAAAAATAGCGTGTCAAAGCAAAAATGTCGCGTTTTCCTTTCGCATGACTGTATGTTTTATTTAATGGTAAAACGGTTAGAAAATATATATAGCAAATAAAGTTAAAGTTGTCAAAAATTGTGTAGCTACTTAACCCTCTCAAGTTCGCCTCTTATTTCAGCGCAAAAGGATGCTGGTCGTCGCACATCATGTTCATCGAAAGCCTCTAAAGTGATCACCGCCTTATAGCGCCCCTGTAAGTTTGGAGTACTGACATTTTCCAGTTTCAGGACCATCAAAAACTCATCGTACACCAGCACGGTCTGCATTGAAAAGCAAGTTCGCCAAAGTGAAGCATCCACAATAATGGACATACTCACATCTTTCACTTTAAGGCATTTTTCACGCACCTCCTCTCGGTTTCGTATGTTTTTTAACCAATACTTGAACCAGTACTGATCTGCGTCAAACATCACTTTGCAAAAGTTCGGGGAGTGAAGGTTAAACATGGTTGGTTGCCAAGTGCCACGTTCATACTGCATCACGCTGAACCTAGCCTGAAATGGGATTGAGTCCTACAGAGTCCTCCAGGTCCTTATACGGACTATTATTAATGCTTACGGAAATCCGATCGGAGATTGAAAAGTTCAACTTAACGGTCATATTCCCCGATACGTAAATGCCTTCTGGCTCCATACTCATCACCATATTGTCGAAATTGAATCCATCGTGGGGGCCAAGGGAGCCGGCTGGAGCTTCTGAGCACGGCATAAAGATGCCCTGGTCATCAATCAGAGCATTGTAGTCCGTTGCCCAAGTGTTGGCCAGGGCCACGAAGAGAATCACCAGGGTTTTAAGCATTTTGGCCTGGCTAGATATTGTTGATCCGCCTATATATAGCGATTGCCGCGCTAATTAGAGCTAATTACGGATTAACATTACATTGCCCATAATCCCAGATGTCATCGCAAGTTCACTCTAACTTACATAGGAACAAATTATCGAGGCAAACAGGTTTTATTTTTAATTCCAAAACAAAACTGCACAAAATATTTCAAGTTTTTAATGCGTAATCATCTATTGTTCACGAAAACTGAAATCATGCGATTTATTTTTGCCTTAGTCATAAGTAAATAGAACACGAAAAATTCGTTAATTATTAAAAAAACAAGACTATGTATACCCCTTACTCAGCTCGTGGAAGTGCATAAAGTTAAACATTCCTTTTCGCATATTGAAAGAAATTGGCAAGAGAAATAATAAACTAAAAATAATAAAAAACAGCTTTTAAACTGTGGACGTGGTTTGGGCGGCTTGTGGGCGTTAGAGTGGGAGTGGCAACATCGGGAAACATACTTGGCTTCCTAGCCTTTACAGTTGAGATCTGGGATCTCGACGTTCATATATCCTTATCTCATTTTTTCTTATCATGAAGTGGTTACTCCTCATGCGGCCAATGCGGCGGGGGCCCACTAAAAAAAACTTTACAAAATATATAAAAAATTAAAAAATATCAAAACATTTTTCAAAAGTTTGGGCGTGACAGTTTTGGGCAGTCCATGTCTCTGGAAGCTGCATGTTTAATCTCAACATGTTGGCTTTTATAGTTCCTGAGATCGAGACGTTCATACGGACAGACGGACGGACGGACAGACCTAATGACCTGGCTTATTGCAGTGGATTTCCAAACTCCGCGATTGTAGTACATCACCCTGAAACTGGTCTTCGAATGGGAGTCGAAAAGCCGCATTCGTTTTGGTCTTGGTAGAAAATCATATTGTTCGTGTCGAAGGCTTCCATGACGATAATCGAACCGGGCGGGGCATCCATACATGGCGACTTTACTTCCGGATCCTCGACCACCAAATAGTAATCCGTGATACAAGCGCTGCGACAAAAGCAACTTACAAATGCAATCACCAGATTTGCAAAAATTTTTAAATGGAGCGATCTTACCTTATATAGGTACTGTAGACGGGGAAACAGGCTGTCATAATTAAGGAATAACATTACATTGTGGGTTATCGCGGATGTCATCAAAATAAGTTTGGAATATTCCGTATTTTCATGGTATGCGTGCTAGCTTTAAATTTAGGTAGTCCATAGAAGTTAGATTTGTTAATGAATATAAGTGCTCTCTCAACAATGTTGTTAATAACATTTAATTATCAGGAATCCAGCGATATCTGATTTTCTAAATATAAAAAAATAATATACACACCAGTAATCGGTTTACAAATAGTTATGTAGTTATCCATAGCAAAACGAAGTTGCAATATAGGGCTTGTTTTCAATAGAGACTCTATTTCATTTGCTGATGTCGACAAGGATTTCTTATTCTGGACGAGTTAGTTAAGCTTACACTCGTATGCCCACTGAGTAAATGGTATCTGATACTCAAGGATAGCGTTCGCTCTTGTTTCATTTACATACAGTTCCTCACATATGTGGCTTTTTGTGTTTGGAAGCTCCTTTTTTATTTTTATTGTTTTAATTAGGATTATTAAGACCAAACATAGTATCCGGTAATTTACGACTGATCAAATCTCGAAATTATCAATTCTTTATTTTTTCAGCTTCGCCCGAGATCTCGAAGCAAACGGATATAGGCTGCCGTTCGTCATATTCGTTGAATGTTTCAAACAGGAAAACTACCTTATAGCGTCCTTTGAGGGGGGGTCCCATGACATTATTTAGTCGCGGAACCACAACAAAGGAGTTGTACACCAGAACGGTCTAAAAAGAGTACTCAATTTCGAATTAATTTGTATATCGGTTCCGAGTTTACTATACTTACACCCTGTGTAGCGAGGCACTTTTCTTGGATTTCCTCGCGGTTTTCAAAATTTTTGAACCAGTATTTATACCAAAACAGATTTGTATTGAACATCGCGTTGCAGAAGTCCGGCGTGAGGGAGTTAAATACGGTCGGCTCCCAGTTACCGCGGTTAAAGTGGAGCACACTCATCTTGACCTGGAGAATAACAAAATTATTGTTACGAAACCGAAAGGACTAAAGCGGATTAGACGTACAGAAATTCGATTCGTGCGCGGTAAGCTCCATGTAGTGGTAATATTTCCGGACACATGGATCCCCTCCTCATCCATTTCAACCGTCATGTCGCTTACGTCGAAGGCTTCATTCAGACCAATAGTTCCAGGAGGTGCTTCCTTGCACGTCGTGTAGATATCTGGATCCTCGACCCGTAGTATATAGTCTGTGGCCAAAATGTCCGTCGAGCCCAAGATGAGAATCAGCAGAATAGCAAACATTGTTGTGTGCCAAGCAAATTATTGTGCCGCCCTTTTATAGCATATGGCAAAAGGTATAGATCCAATACCGATTAACATGTCTTTTATCGGGAATACGATCAAATCTACTCATTGCACGCTTTTAGCCGACAAACTATGCATTGCTCTACATTACATTTTTGAATACCAAAAATACCTAGTTTCACAACTGTCGTGTGGAGCGTACATACGTGTGTACATACATACATAAAAATTGTGGGCAATAGTCTCTCGTTGAAATAGGAACAATCTAGATCATTAAGACTGAGTAGCAAACCTTAGTAAAATATAAACATTTGATGACGATATTTTCAATTAAGTGAGAGGAAACTTAAATCCTGGTTGAATTTGAAAAGATGTCAAAAGCAATAACGGGTTTTATTTTGTATTCAAAGGGAATCCGTTTGTTCCAGCCTCAGAAACAGCCGCATGCATGACCTATTTTCCCACCCCCTCAAGCAACAGTGTTCCCAATTCTTCAACCGCAAATGCAGCGAAACAAAACACTTGCATTCCCATAATTATCATGTGCCGCAACACAAAAACAAACCAGCAGACATGTGGATTATGACCCGTGCCTGACGTCAGTCAATGTTAACATCATTACAAAGCCAACAGCGCTGTAGTAGCTACATACATACATACGTACGAGTATGTATAACTGAAATCTGGAATGACTACAGTGGATAACTTTTTATTGGAATACTTACTTACCGCTGCAGCTTGACAAAGCCATCACATTAAAAACCTACAAGTAATATTAGGTTTTATGTACATATGTTTAAATCCGTATTGAATTTCTACTGGTTTTCCGTACAGAGGCCGCACTGTGCTTGCACATATGCAAGTGATTATCAACTCCCACGCTCGCCAACTCTACTGTCTCTCTCTCTTTTGCGGAGCTGGTGGTGGAGCTCACTCCGCTCCCGCTCCCGCTCTCGCGCTCGCTGTATTCGTAGAGCTGTGACGTGTGTAGGCACCCCATCGACTTGGGGCTCACCACCACACGCGCAGACACACGGACACACAGACACAGCTCGCTCTCGCTTTTTGTCTTCCGTTGGGGAATCTCGCTGCTGGCGACTCTGCTCGCCTGTTCCGTTATATCGCGTAGAGGGACCTGCCTCAATGTTGCGCGTCAATTTTAGGGAGCCTACACTAGAAAAATCGGTGACGGTTGGCCACTTTTTTTGTGGCCCGGCTCGTCGCACTTTCCTTTCTTCTTGGCCTCCTTGGCTGCCTGCGGAGTGGAGTTGGGCGCTCCGAAGGCGCCTGCGCGGAGTGCGCGACGCCTCGCTTTGCAGCTTTGTCGCTCGGCCGCCATTTGCGATTCCCGCTGCCGCTGTCGCCAAATATGAAGCAAGCAGAATGCGGCGCAAGCAGTACAGAGATGTACATACATATGTACATATGTAGGTGTTTGCGGATGATGCTTAGGTGTCTGCAGCTTGCCCTTGACCTTTGACTTTAACCCGCTGAGTGCTGGAGAAGCACTTCCACACTTACCCTGTGAATGCAATCAGCGAGGTTTTCAGTACATTTTCAGGGTCAGAAGTGTGAGTTAGTGCAACAATGTTTCTTTTTGGAAACAAGTTTCATTTTATCGCATAAGCATTACCCGGTAAAGTGCCTAAAAGTATGCCCAAGGTCCTCATATTCTAAGTATACTTCATGACAGTTTGGGATGATATCGAAGCTGCAGTAAAGTATTGTAATAGATTAATTAATAATATTCCAAGATCCCAAGTAATAAATATGTACATACATACATAAGCTCAGTGGAGAGATCGAGTGATGCCCTTCCCATTTCCATTTTGCCGCTTCCCCGTCTCTCACAGTCCGCCTCCTCTATCACTATCACTACCTCTCTCCATTTTCTCTTCTCCGTGCGCCGCACACACTCTCGTTGGCGTCTGTCTGCTGTCATCAGTTGCTGCTTACTTGTTCACCAAACCGCAGCTTAGCGCTGGCAATGCCGGCGGCAGCAGACGTAACGGTAAGCAACAACGCCCCACCGACAACGACCATAGCAACAGGGAGAACGATAACGATAACAGCGACGACGACGACGACGACGCCGACGACGACGGTCGCGTCTGATAGACAGCTGTCTCCAATTGGAATGTTGTCTCCGGTTACGTCAGTCAAAATGACGCATCGTGTTTTGGTAACAGGAAAGCATAAAACGAGAAAAGCACCAATGTGCGGCACTCTGTGGCCCAATCGCCACGAAACAAAAGAACAAGGCACGAAGAAAATATGTAAACCGTAGTGGGGGACGAAGAAACAGCAAGCACCGACGCAGCACGGCGTCACGACAACAAAAAAATCCACCCTCGCGCTAAGATTTTGTTGGTTTTTCGATTCGCTTTCATTTAGACGGGTGCAGTGCAGTGTCTGGGCCAGATCTCAAAGGTAAGAGGAAGTGCACAACTTTCAGTGAAGGCACAGTTTAAATAGTTGCCGTTAATGCAGTCGTAGCTCCAGAAAAGCTGTATCAGTAATTGTCTAATCAATATCACTACTTTCAACATGAAATTGCCCTTTAATCGCAATACTACCTTTGATATAATAATACCTTTATTTGTATATATGTACGTACATGTACATTCAATCCTACCTAGCCAGTGAAATATTGGCCTGCCCATTAATGCAGGAAATGCCTAGCGTTCGCTAAATATTTTAGTTCGGTTAGTTAGTTAGCTTTCAATTTGAATTCCATTTAAGTTGGGCACTAAGTTCCAGCTAGTTTATAGCCAAGACGCCCACCACTGACGGCGACGCTAACGCCAACGCGAACGGTTCTTGCCGCCGCTTTCACACAGCGAAAAAGCGTACATAAAAGGGGTACAGCGCGGTGCGTTGGCAACGCTGTGCGCCTGCTGCTCTGCGGACAAAATTTGAGCAGATCCGCTCACAAAAAAACGTACTTACTACGAAATAGTGCTGGTCGTGTAGGTTCCACGTTCCATGGCTCCACGGCACCACGCCTAAATGGCCAAATGGCTCCACTGCTCCAGTGGCTCCAACTGCGGTGGTGCCCATTCCAGTTGGAAATTGCATGCGAGCACATGGGAAAAGTCCCCAACTGGTATTTCGAGCAGGCGCGCAGCTTTCCCAACTGCTCGCTCCCTCAAAGAGTTCCGCCTCTGTCCCGTTCGCACCGATAAGGAGCCTGCGAGATAAGCAGCTGGAAAGGGACGGACTGACGAGTGGCGGCAAAGCGCAGTGTGCAACGAAAGAAAGGGATGGCCAATGAGGGCTTAATCGCAGGGGGAATCGCCGATCGCTGATAGCGCTAGAATTCCGGTTGTTATAACCCCAATAACATGTTAAATACTAAATTACATTAGCTGAGATTTAAGGGATATTTCTGCCTGTATTTTTCGTTTCTTAGATCGCGTTTTAATCCTAGTTTTAATTATTTCATGTATGCAGTTTGATTTTAACGAATTTTTGTACAATTGTATTCTCGAAACATCTGTACATTTCATCATTACATTAAATGAAAACCGAATAAAACTCCCAAAACAAACAAATTGCCTCAAATCATCTCCTGTTAACTCTTTTTTGGGAATTGATAATTCATTTGCGATACTATTGGCTTCTATATAAGGCCTAAGCTTTGGGGTCTAGTCTCAGTCGTGCGGCAAACGCAAAACTGAAAAGTATTCTAGTATTCTATAGAGAAACGGTAAGAGAAAGCACACACCAAGAGAACTTATAAACTCAATCGGATCGCGAGCTTTTTTTCATGGCAATGGAAAAAGTTTTAGTATAATTTTCACGTCGAATGAGTTTGGAGGCATAGCATTGGAGTGTAGCATAGTGTAAAGAACAAAATATAATAATAAAATACTTGTTCAGTAGTTCTGGTGAGGCAGTTGCTGTCGTAAACACTTTAGTTAAGAGAGTTTTTAAGAGTATTGGTTTGTTCGTTAGTGACATTGAGCAGAGTGTAATTAATATCAAAATATTTGTGTGGGTTATTTCCATTCCCTCCCATAAACAACGCTAAAAACCATCAAAAGGTCCAAAAGTATTGAATGGCATGAGTCGTGGAAAAGTGATTAGATGCGAGCATATCTGACAGATATTGTTTTGGGAATTTCGCCATAAATCTTGTGCCTCAAGTGCGGAGATAGCGACCGAATACCCCCCGTTTGAGTAGTTTGCTAATTTTCTGATACTTACCAACATGGGTGTTGGTTATATTTTCAGTACTGACTATTGGTTAGCTACTCGAAATCAGAACTATTGAGTTCAGTACTTAATCGTATTTCCACTGAATTAATTGTCGCTTTTCAAACCATAATAATTGGTGGCAGTCTTTAAAAAGTTTCTCTTTGTTTCGTAATGTTTTTAATTTGAATATACGAAGTGAATTAAAACCTCATTTTGGAATGCTTATTTTTGGCAATTGGTTATTGTTATTGATCCCGGAATAAGCTTTTCTCTGATTATTGAATCCACCGCAATAACACTCCAATCTTATAGACTAGTTCTCAAACCAGTTGTGCGTCTTATACGCCGTAGAAGAGATACGCTCAGAATCAGATCAGCTGCTCACATCGGCGGCTTGAACGCCACAAACACATACATACATAAGGGAGAGAGCAGAGCGCTGATTACAATGCTGAACAGGTTCATTGGTTTATCGGCTGCGATCGTTGGTCGGAGCAGTCGGATCAGCGGCTTTGCGTTCTCGCCGCTCCTTAAAGCTGGGTGCGTATGCCGCTGGAAAGTTCAGTCTGTTGCAACACTCGACTTCGATCGCAACACTTCAAGATGAGATCGATTGCCCAGTCCGTGCTGGCGCTGCTTGTGGCCTTGCTGATCGCCGATAGTAATGCCTCCCTCCCACGCAGGGGCAGCAGTAACCAGAGCCAGAACCGCACCATGTCCGCTGGCAAGGCTTTCAAGGTCCTGGTGACACACCCCGAGGTTCCCCAGGAGGGCATTGACCTGCTGAAGGAGAACTGCGAGATCATCCAGGTGCAGAGTGTGCCCACCAACAGGGCGGAGTTGCTGGAGAAAATCCGCGGCGTGGACGGCGTTCTCTGGGGTGGACACGAGCCCCTCAATGCCGAGGCCCTCGATGCCGCCGGGCCCCAGCTTAAGTCCATCTCCACCATGTCGGCGGGCATCGACTACGTCGATGTGCCGGAGGTCAAGAGGCGCAAGATCCCGCTGGGACACACGCCCACCGTCCTCAACACCGCCGTGGCCGACTTGGCAGTGGGTCTCCTGATCGCCGCCAGTCGCCGTTTCCACGAGGGTCGCAAGACCATCGACAAGTGAGTATAAGTACTAGTTTTCCATTATCCATATACCTGCAGACAGATTTCAACTATCTTTTTTGCTGTCAAATATTGACTATTTAGTCATGGTGTTTGTTGGTTCTACATTTGCCAACAACGTGTAATTTAATTGCATTTTGAACTTTCTATTTTCAACTTTGTGTGACTTGCAAAAAGCTTTCCTGACCTTGATTGCAAGCCGGGTCCATTCGGTCCTATTTCTGGAAAATATTTTGTTGCTGATAACCCAATCCTTACTTTTAAATTCCTATGCCATTCAATTTCCTAACTTGTTATTCTTGCGATTTCAAAGCGACAAGTGGGAAAACTACCATCTCAACTGGCTGTTGGGCCAGGATATCCGGGACGCCACCGTGGGATTCTACGGCTTTGGAGGCATTGGCCAGGCTATTGCCAAGCGCTTGGGTGGATTCGACATTGACAAGGTGCTGTACACCACCCGCCGTCGGGTTCACAAGGAGATCGAGGAGGAGTTTAATGCCAAGAAAGTGGACTTCGATACCCTTCTGGCAGAGAGTGACTTTATCGTGATCGCTTCTCCGCTGACCAAGGACACACAGGGCGTCTTCAATGCCACCGCCTTCAACAAGATGAAGCAGACTGCTGTGCTAATTAACATTGCCAGGGGCAGTAAGTATCCAGTGCCAATTGGGTTCTTGACGGAATTATTCTAGTATACCCCTATTTTATCCCTCAGAAATTGTCAACCAGGACGACCTCTACGAGGCCTTGAAGTCCAAACGAATTTTTTCCGCCGGACTCGACGTCACGGATCCGGAACCATTGTCGCCCAAGGACAAGCTGCTGACGCTTGACAATGCTGGTGAGTGGGAAAATGAAAATAGAACTGTAGTTGCCTTAAGTCCCCCAGCAAATACTCGTATTTCTGGCCCCTTATCAATACAAAGATTTTGTCTTATCTCTTTAGTGGTTGACAATGTCTAAAGGTTTTTTGGAGAGATTTCATTAAGGTTTCTTGAAGGTTACAAACAAATAGGGTAACGTTTTTTGTTTAGTTTTATCATATTCCGCGTCCCTGTCGACCTTTAAGTGCCCCTTTTTTATTTATTGAAAGAATGTTATCTTCGTAATCGTATCTTGCACTAACCACTCGATGTTTTCCCGTAACTTTCAGTCGTCCTGCCCCATATTGGATCCGCCACGAAGCGCACCCGTGCCGATATGTCCACCATTGCTGCCCATAATGTGCTCCGCGGCTTGGCTGGGGAGCCCATGTTGTCGCCCGCCTACTAGTAAATTGATATGGAGAATATGACCCTCTAGCGCTAACCAGTTTGGGATGCCAGTCCAACAATGCCCTGGCTTGTCAGTAGATGTGAAAATAAAGTTGCAATTAAAAGTACAACTACTTCCTGGTGCTAAGTGCTTCATTTCAATGTGTGGGAATCTAATCAATGGCATAGCTGACTGATTAATACGAAGTAGGTAAAGCCCTAGGAAATCGCATAAATTATATACGGATTTTTTCAGTGAATTGCTAATTGTTACATTTGATTAGGGAACATGTAACAAATGTAGAGCAATATATGAATAAATTGTTTCATAAATGTACACTTTTGTGTTGAGTGCAGTACTGCAGTAACTTCCGTAAGAAGTGTATAGAAACGCTTAGCAAATGGTAATGTGCAGTTCAAGAGATGAGAGCAAAAAAAATGTAAAAGCTTAAGAGCAAACATGGAGCTTAAGAGCGGGGCACAGAAAAAGCTCGAATTGTTATTTCGTAAATTTCCACTTTACAGTTTAGCCTTGCAACTGGCCGCTGCTGGTTGATAATTGAGGCCCAAGTTTCCTCATCATGTCTCGCGCGACCAGGGCCTTCAAAGTGCTGATTTCGCATCCAAATGTCCCAGCCCCGGCTTTGGAACTGCTTCGATCCCGTGGAGCGGAGACCGTCATCTGCCAGAGTGTGCCGCCCTCGAGGGAGGAGATCCTGCGGAAGGTGCCCGGAGTGGATGCCATCTATTGGGCCCACTATCAGCCCCTGAATGCCGCAATCCTCGATGCTGCCGGATCCCAGCTGCGTTGCGTGAGCACCATGTCCTCCGGAATCGATTTTGTGGATATTCCCGAGTTCCAACGGAGGGGCATCCCATTGGGCCACACACCCGGGGTGGTGAGAAATTCGGTGGCCGATCTCGCCATTGGCTTGATGATTGCAGCCGGTCGTCACTTTCACGCCGGTCGCACCGAAATCGAGAGGTGAGAACAGCTGATGGGCGCTTTTGCTCAGAAGCTTTTAGTATTGGCAGCTTTTTGGGTAGGGGTTGCCAACATACCCTATCTAACATACCTAGTACCTGAATTTAACAAATCATTTGTTAGATTCGCTTGAAAATTGACTGGTTTTAATCGATTTGAGCATAATATTTACAGGTCCCAATGGAAAATCGAGCAGATCGACTGGATGATGGGCCAGGAGATTCGCGATTCAGTCATCGGTTTCTTTGGTTTTGGCGGTATTAGTCAGGCCATCGCCAAGCGACTGCAGTGCTGGGATGTGGCCAAGATCATCTACCATACCCGCACCCGAAAGGAAAACGATGGCGACTTCAAGGCAGAGCACGTGTCCTTCGAACAACTTTTGCAGGAAAGTGACTTCCTGGTGGTGGCAGCTCCGCTTACAAACGAAACTAGGGAGAAGTTCAATGGAAAGGCTTTTGACCTGATGAAGAGGAGCTCTGTGTTTGTCAATGTGGCCAGAGGAGGTAGTATTATAAGCACTGTATGAACGTAGGGCCCATACATAGAATTTTTCAGGTCTCGTAAATCAAACTGACCTCCACGACGCCTTGACAACTGGTACAATTTTTGCCGCTGGCCTGGATGTGACCACACCAGAACCACTGCCCGCCAATAGTCCCCTTCTCAAACTGCCCAATTGTGGTAAGTTAGGATCTGTGAGAATACTTGGTAGTGCTCCTCGCTGGGTGAACTAAAGTAGTACTTATATTTCTACAGTTATCCTTCCCCATATGGGCACTCAGACAATGAAGACCACCATTGAAATGAGTTTGCTTGCTGCCAATAATATTTTGAATGCCATCGAAGGGCAGCCCATGATAAGGCCTGCCTACTAAGAAGATGTAAAATGTGAATACTCGGATCGGAATAATAAACGATATTAGGCAAAAAATGTCGAGCATAGTACGCAGAACTTAATGGATTGATTTAATGATTCCCCTTCAACGCAACAAGTAAATAATTATGCAAATTATTACTTTTACCAAACCCAACCATAAAAGCTCTTCAAACGCTGTGCTGTCAGCTTTTTCTGAGATAGGGGCTCTATAAAAGTTCGGTGCCAAAGACAATAGTAGTCAGTCGTTCAGCAAGCGTAGAGAATAGAATTTCGGTGCTGGCAGATACTGATATTTTCACTAATTTAAGAGCTTGAGAGAGAGAACCAGAAGAGAAGCAAACCAAAAGCTTTTAAACTGCTTACGAATGAAGAGAATTTTCGGAACTCTCCGCTCAGTGATTATCTCCCAAAAGTGGCACTTGTAATTGTTTTTCATATCAAATAATATCTTTTAGTCACCAGAAAAACTTAAAATGTCTGCAGCGAAGCCGTTTAAAGTGCTGATAGCGCATACCGATGTTCCGCCAGAGGGAATTGAAATCCTGAAGGAGAAATGCGAGATCCTGCGAGTGATAAATGAACCTCCAAAAAATCGCCCCGAAATTCTAGAAAAGATCAGGGGGGTTCATGCTGTCATTTGGGGTGGTCGGGACATACTCAATGCCGAGATCCTGGACGCCGCTGGTCCGCAACTAAAGGCGGTGTCTACCATGTCCTCGGGGATAAACAATGTGGACTTGGCGGAGATAAAGAAAAGGGGTATTCCTTTGGGAAGTACTCCTGCGATGCTCACTGTGGCGGTAGCCGATCTTACAGTGGGTCTATTGATCGCCGCAGCTCGGCGGTTCCAAGAGGGTCGCAGGAAGATAGACAGGTAATGCAAATCATTCCCTACCCTGATATCGTAAGATTCATTATCCCTAATTTCAGTGACAAATGGGATAAGGACCATCTCAACTGGATGCTGGGTCAGGACATTCGCGACTCCACCGTGGGCTTCTATGGCTTCGGAGGAATTGGCCAGGCGGTGGCTAAGCGTTTGATGGGATTCGAGATTGACCGCGTTTTATATACCACGCGGACTCGCGTTGCCCAGGACATCGAGGAGCAGTTCAATGCCACGAAGGTGGACTTCGATACGCTCCTGGCGCAAAGTGATTTCATCATCATTGCATCCCCATTGACCAAGGATACATTGGGATTGTTTAATGCCACCGCCTTTAATAAAATGAAGGAAACCGCAGTACTAGTCAATGTTGGCAGGGGCAGTAAGTATACTTGAAAAAAAAAACAACTGAAATGCTTTATGCCTTTTCCTAGAAATTGTCAACCAGGATGATCTTTACGAGGCGCTTAAATCAAACCGAATTTTCGCAGCTGGACTAGACGTTATGGATCCGGAGCCCCTTCCTTCCCATGATAAATTACTTACTCTAGACAATGTTGGTAAGTAATCCTACGCTCGTATATTTTACTCAGGATCATGGAACTATTTATTTATTTATTTTTATCTCATTTGCGTGTTGGGAATTTTTCCGACGATTGATAAGACCTGCCATTCAAAGCCTTCCTATCAATCCCTGGCACTTTACTTTATCATCTACATATAGTTCCATTAACATTGGGCACTTCATTTATCTCCTTTTTTCTTTTCATGAAGTGGTCACTCCTCATGTGGGCTATGCCACCCTGAGAACCCGCATTGATGCAGCCAATTTGGCTTCGCGGAATGTGCTCCGAGGACTGGCCGGTGAGCCCATGTTGTCACCTGCCTACTAAAATCGGTCTGATCGGTGTATTAAAACGGAAATCAACACTTGATATGTTTTTTAATGTGTGATTTAATACAAAACAAGAGATACCCGTTACTCAAGTGGTGGAAGTGCGAACGGGAAATTTTAAAAGTTTTCTGATTGTTTGGGTAAAACAATTTAAAAACATTTTTTCAAGTTCGTTTTGTGTCCGTTAGAATGGGCGTGGCTACGATGTTTCTGAAATACCGATATAAATTGGACAACAAATAATACAACCAAAAAGTGAGATCGATGCGTTCATACGGACGGACAGACAGGCGGACGGACAACAATTTTTGAAATACCGATAAAAAGTGGATAAAAAATAATACAACCAAAAAGTGAGATCGATGCCTTCATACGGACGGACAGACAGGCGGACGGACATGGCCGGATCCACTCGGCTAGTGATCCAGAATTTATATACCTCATAGTGTCGGAAACGCGTCCTTCCACCTGTTACATACTTTTCAACGAATCTAGTATATCCGTGGAGTTGTAACGGGTATGACTAACGGGTAGAAACGTTATTCACTTGTATTGTCAGCATTTTCCGTAGTCACAAGAGGTAGATACAGGGGATCCCACTCGTCCCTTTGCAGGGCCTTTAGATACAGCCTCCTCTCCTGGAGGACTCGCGACATCAATGCCGGCTGCTCCGCCTTGTGTTTCTGTGATATTTCTAGGGCTCTCCGCCAGTTGTGCATCCGCAGGGCTAGGCCCACCGCCTGCTCGATTTTCTTGCCATGCAGCAGGATCGTCTCCGCCTCAAGCATCCTGCCCAGCATTAGTGAGTTCTCGGCCATCTGCTCGGCACTCGAGGGCGTGAGGGTCTTCAGGTGCTGTAGGTAGCTCACCTTGTCGATCTGCAGTGCTGCCGAGTAGGCCTCCTCGCTGATCTGCAACTGGTGCTTTCTGGTGGCCACCGCCGCCAGAGTGGCCCACAAGCTGGAGTGCTGGCCCATCCGGCAAATCTTCAGCGCCTGTTGCCACTGCCCTTCGGCAAGAGCACGATGCAGGATCTCGCAGTACATGTTAACATTGACGGGGAGTAGGGCGCCGGCGGAACGGAATGTGAGCACGGAGTCCTCGAAGCTTTCAATGGTGATGTGTTTGCCAAACTCCCTAGGGAAAGGAGATTTTTATCAATAAAAGATAGTACAATTTGAATCTAGTTTAAAGGATTCCCTTAAAAATACTATGAAGCCTTGAAGTAATTTCCATTTAACGGACGGACAGACGAACGTACAAACGGACATGGCCTGGATCCTGGATCCATGGATCCTGATCAAGAATATATATACTTTATACGGCTGAAAACGGTTACTTCTACCTGTTACATACTTTTCAACGAATCTAGCATACCCTGTTAGCCCACGAGTAAAGGGCATACAAATTCGAGTGGAAATGGATTCTGAAGCAAGTTGAAACTATAAAGATATGTTCTGATAACCACATCTGTGGGTTCCTTACGTGGTATCCAATGTGATAGTGGTCAGGGCAATGATCGTAGGGTCGGAGGCTCCTTCCCCGGGACAATACCAGATGCTGTAGCAGGAGTCGTGCACTCCTACCAGAATATTTGTTTCGCTGGCCCACATAATCGCAGTGAGTTGGGTGCCGATCTTGTAAATCTCATCCGTGCGTTCGCCATTCAGATTGCGGGACTCGCTGACAAACAGTTCCCTATTCGAATCGATAAACGCTACAAACTGGTCGTCCGGAGTTCCTGCTCGACAAGCTGCAATCTGGAGCAGATGCTGCTTGGCCCTCAGGGAATGGAGATCGTACTGGCGCGAGGCACCCGGAACCAGATCAAACAGATGGAGTACAGTCGGGTCAGAGTTATCCCTTATAGCCAGGACATCAAGACCCAAAGATAGCGAGCGCCAAGTGAGCAGGGGAATCTGCGCCTGGGAGCCGGGATAACGCGGATTCAAGTGCAGGCGGCCCGTGTAAGTGTACACCCAAATCGACAGGGCGTCCAAGATCATAAAGTACCTAAGCAAAAGAAGAGTAAGTTCATGAAAAGTGTGCGTTTCCATAAATAATTTGTAGTTACTTTTTGCCCACTTCAATGACCCGCGTGTCGTTCCTGCCATCGATAATGATCGGCGTGTTTATATACCTCTCATTATAGATGTGCACTTGATTAGTGGTGGCCACCACCAGATGGCCATAGCCCAGGCCAAAACTAACCACGCGCTGCGGGAAATCCAGGATGTCCTGAGTGCCAGCCGCAATGTCCTTCAACGTAATCGACTTGCGACTTTTGCTGGTGGCCTTCAAGTTGCCGGAGACTTGCTGCTGCTCGATGGCATAGGCCACAATCAATTGACCCGTCGAGGTGCCACAGGATACTTGGGTGCCATCGGCTGACCAGGAGAGGTTGAAGAGGGAGCCCACACGTGGACTGGAAAAGCGAGCGGTGTTATAGGACCACTGTAACGCAATGTCAGTGGGAGCTTTAATGGCCTGGACTCTTTAAGTCTATAAAACTACTTACCCCATTGCTGTGGCACAATTTGAGCAGATTAAATGTGCCCACCAGAAGGTAATCCTTCTCTGGATTAAAGGCCACGCTCGTGATGGCGTACTCCTCGGCGGCACTAGTAAAAAGATTGGCTCCCTGGGCATCCCAAATCTTGAACCGAAAGTCCTCGCCTCCGGACGCTATGACATTGGACTGTGTGGACCAGCTGAGGGAAAGCACCAGGCCATCATGGGCACGCCACTGAAAGGAGAAAATGCAGTTAGGTAAAGCGGTTTCAATTTAATAACAAAATTTCCTGAACGTTACCCTAATTAGTTTACTATTGGCGGCCAGAGGCTTGACGGAAATGTGTCCACCCTGGCAAAATACTATGGAGGTGGAGTTGGGCGCCCATCGTGCGCATCGGATGGCCTCCTCATTCTGCACCACGGTGGATCGCAACATTCCTGATCTTGACCAGATCTTAATCACACCATCTTCGCCGGCGGTCAGAAGTCCGGCGCCATCGGGACTCCAGCGACCGGAACTTATAGCTGCTCCATGGGCTGAAATGCTCCTCTCCACTCGGGCACTCTTATTTAGGATCACGAATCGTCCATCATTACTGCAGATTAGCAGGGTGTCGCTGCCCTTTCCTCCACCACTGCTCCTGCCGCCCAGCAAAAGCCAGTGCAGATCCGTGGGCACAAAGTCATCCGGAAGCTTTGCCACCTCAACCGAATCGCGGCTGACGTCGCTCCACTTGCAGATCTGATGGTCATCGCTGGGGAAGTTGTTAATTTAATCACTCCACATTTGTTTAACACATTAGTCAACCCACCTCACAAAGTATATCTCTTCATTGCTGCTCCAATCCACGCAACTCAGTGGATAATTTGTTGGGCTTTTGCTGCTTTCCTCTGCCGTTTCCGAGTTTTTTACCGAGCTTTTCTTGCAGATTCTCGTTTTTAACTTCATTTTGCCTATATTTTTAACTATTAATATATTTTCTTTGTTTTGGCTAAACAGTTGTCCGGGAGATTTCAAGTCAAGTGTAGCATTTTTGTTACCATGGAGATCAGGTTGTGAAATTGACTAAGGTTTCGGTATCGGGTGACACATTACCTTACGTGATTACAAGTTTCTTAATTTCCCCTTTTACGATCATTTTATTTAATGGGCTAACATTAACCCATTCGCGTTTTTAGCTTAATTTTGCCTATATATTTAACTATGAATATATTTTCTTTGTTTTGGCAGTTGTCCGGAAGATTTCAAGTCAAGTGTAGCATTTTTGTTACCATGGAGATCGGGTTGTGAAATTGGCTAAAGTTTGGGTATCGGGTGACACATTACCTTACGTGATTACAATTTTCTTAATTTCCCCTTTTGCGATCATCTTATTTAATGGGCTAACATTGACCCATTCGCGTTTTTAGCGTCATTTTGCCTATATTTTTAACTGTGAATATATTTTCTTTGTTTTGGCTAAGCAGTTGTCCGGGAGATTTCAAGTCAAGTATAGCATTTTTGTTACCATGGAGATCAGGTTGTGACATTGACTAAGGTTTCGGTATCGGGTGACATATTACCTTACGTGATTACAATTTTCTGAATTTCCCCTTTTACGATCATCTTATGTAATGGATTAAACATTGACTAAATAGCCAAAAGTGATTTGTTTAGTTCGTAGTAGTAATATCATTCATCGCCTTTTTCATATAACTAGTTGGTTATACGTTGCTGTACAATAATTATACCCGTTAATGGTAGAGTAAAAGGGATTACTAGAGTCGTTGAACAGTATGTAAGAGGCATACGAAAGCGTTTCCGACCATATAAAATATATATATTCTTAATCAGGATCAATAGCGGAGTCGTTCTGGCCATGTCCGTCTGTCCGTTTGTCTGTCCGTATGAACGCCTCGATCTCAGGAGCTATGAAAACTAGAAAGTTCAGATTGAGCGTGCAGATTTTAGAGACATGGCTGACATTAGTGACATTAGCTGAGTAACGGGTATCTGATAATCGGGGAACTCGCCTACAGCATTCTCTCTTGTTTGATGTGAATTTGGCGATAGAATTCTCGTTTTTATCCCTGTAATATTCAAGAAAAATAAAAATGGAAAATATATTTATACTCATCTTGTAATATCTTTAGTTAAATTAGCAGTTACTTGAGAACTTAATTTCCCTGCTGAGATCTTTAACATTAAAATGTTCTTTATTGCTAACTAACATTTTCAAGCCAGGCAATTACGGATTTCCGCTTTTGCAACCGACGTTGTAAGCAAAAAGGTCTCATATAGTGAGCGGCTCGAGTTGCGATTTGTTTGACTTTTTTTTACGTCCCACCTATAATTAGGGTTTATTATTTAGCCAAGCAAGCGAAACTGTTTTCGACAGTAGTTGGCCATAGTCATTGTCAGTTACTGAAAAGCAGATGCGAATTGTTCAAGCAAACAAGATTTGGCTGGCGGGAATGCTGAAACGTGACAAGATCGGCTTAAATTAACTTGATAGATAGCCATAGTTTCCGGCAATTTATAAGACTACATTTCTATATGAATTACCACTTATCCTGTTTAATTGCTGCTCCTTAATCGCTTTTAGCATAATGAACCACATACGTTTGTAGTACACCCGAGTCCCAAATCGATTTCTCGGAGTAGGCTTCAATTATTTTCTAATTTGTTTGCAGCCAACAAACGAATCCATCAATAAATCGGTGAAAATATGATTAATCGAGAATATTCGAGCCCCCAAAAGGAACCCCACGTCATTGTCCAATTTTCTTTGACTTGAACATACATATACTAACGAATGACAATCAGTCTACTGGAGTGGACAACCCTCTTGAAGTTTCTGTCTTATCATCCCTTTTTTTATTGAAGGAGGCGTAGTTTATTGGCGCTACTCGAGCAAAGTGACATATTTCATGTACAATGAACTTTCTCAGCCCATTTCTTATGTGCCAGTACTACGTATATTTTCCATTTGGTTTTGCGCTATATTTACGTTACATGGAAAGCTTTTTGTTTATACTCATATGGGACTGGAAAAAATACACCTTTTTACTATTTTTCAGGTCGGAGCAACAAGTGAGATAAGCTAATTATTTGTCTTACCATGCAGCCTGTCTTGCACCTTTGAGCATTTCTATGAAAGTTACGCCAGATAATAACCAATATTTATTTATGGTACTTACATTATTTGTTGTACTTGAGCATTTTCTATAAAGGGAAATCACAGTTTATATACTTTTAGACGAGAGTCCTGAGTGCGATGTGGCTCCACTATTCTTCGGCTATAAAAAAGCGTATAAAAATGCTTACAAAACTTACTCGCATCATAAGAAAAGTTGTAAAAAAATTAATAATCCAGATCCAAAAAATATTAACCCATATATTGAACCCAAATGCACTTATTCATCAGAAAAAAATAAAAACAAACCCCAAAATACAATTGAAAAAGCATAAAGTACATACTTGCAACATTTGCTGGTGGCAAAGCTAACGCGTTTCCTGCCAAATATCCTCCATCCAAATGCTTTGCCTTATCAGAGAGTTGCACTTGATTAGGCGGGCGACACTGATGGCCAAGTCGAAGTGAATATGGCTTGGCGTTTAAGAAGTCGGAGTGAAACGAGAGTGACGATGCCGACTGAAACGGCGACGGTGGCTCCTATTAGGCGTCAAATGGCCCGGCAAAACGCAACCACTGCAGCGCACAGTGGGTTGAGTCATCTGCACCTTGGAAACGAAAATGCTGAACTAAAAGTAAATATCTTAATAGTAGGTTGATATTACTAATATATAAATTATAAAATGAAAGAAAATGTGCAGCAAAGTTTTGGTTCCGGAGATCTCTGCGTTCTTAAGGACAGACAGGCGGACGGACAAACGGACATAGCTACGTAGACTCGGCTTCCGCTCAAAAATATAATTATATAATATACACTGATGGGTCGAAAGCACCTCCTGAAACTTAATGTTCAACGAATCTAGTATACCCCTTTATTCATTGAGTAAAGGGGATAGGGAAGTATGAACGATTTAAGAAAAATATGAGTGTGTGAGGTCAAAAATAACACAAAAAGATGATTTTGATGTAATATTTCACTCATAGAGTATGAATGATTTAAGAAAAATAGGTTTTCAAGGTCAAAAATAAAAAAAAAGATGATTTTGATCTAATATTTCACTCATTGACTAAAGGGGATAAGGAAGTATGAATGATTTAAGAAAAATATGAGTGTGTTTGCAAGGTGAAAAAAAAACAACAAAAAAATGTGATTTTGATTTAATATTTTGGGGATATGTAATCGTTTTCATCTGTACCCCCAAGTTACGATATTGAGTCCGACTTTAGGTCTGGCACCACTGTGCGGCTCCTGAAACTGCAAGTGTTTGTGTGCGCCATTAGGAAAGTGCAGCTACACCGCGGAGCAGTAAACCCGTAAACCCGACCCAGCGTCGCTCCACCGGAATCCACTCAACCCCATCCGAGTGCGAGTAGCAGAAGTGCCTGGAATGCCTGGAATGCCTGGAACCCCGAATATTGTTCTGTCGTTGAACGGCACGTTTCAATCGCCCGCTTTCAATCTTGCGTTCCACCGCCTTCAACGATCTCTCTCGCGGCGATTCGCCTTTGGGGTTGGGTGCGTTTCGTTATTGGTTCAACTGCCGCGTACTATTCAGTTCAGTGTTCAGCGTTCAGCGTTCAGCGTTCAGTGCTCAGTGTTCAGTTCTCAGCTTCAGTTCGCTTGGGTTCAGTTCGCAGTCAGTTTGTCAACGGGTCGCATGCGTGTTCGGAAATCGGGCAAGCGAGTGTTGATTTGGAAATCCAAAGCCAAAGCAAAGTCAGATACCCCTGAAAGTGCAGTGCCTGTGCAGTGGTATACCTCAAGTTCTCCGCCAAATTCTCAAAACTCCACCCAAAAAGGACTATCATGGCCTGCGGTTCAACAGGCTGCCTCTTGCTGGGCCTCTTCGCCCTTCCGATGTTTTTCAGCACAGGTGTGTTATAAACCCTGAGTTCGCCTCAAATGGGCGCTAATTAAGGCAGTCGGAGTTACTTAAGTGCGTGGGCGTGTTCTCCCATTCAAATGTGCAGCGAACGCCCGGCTGGAGTTCAGTGAACCAAGTCTAAAGGACTCGCTGGTGTGGAAAATGGGGGAAGCTGCGTCAGATTAAAGTATTTGGCAGCAAACTCATATTAAAGAGATGCGGTATTCGAGGAAAAGGTGGCTTAGGGACTTAGGGATGCAGAAAAATAAGTGAATGTCGAGTGACTTAAGTATAATAGGTTGAGCTTTGATAGCTCTCAAGCTAAGTAAATACAAAATAAGTAGTAATATCTAAAACTATAGAGTGTGCACCTCCTATTATTATTGAAATCTCAATGTTTGCTAAGTTAACAATTGGCTTAAGTTGCTGCCTCTTTCTGTCTGCCCGGCGTTAATTTTTGGCATTACCAGAGCAATTTTCTGGACAGATGAAATCCACTTGAAATACTCTTTAATTTCCATGACTTGTGATTATTTATGCACTTGCTGATATTTTTCCGCACCTCTTTGGTGTTTATTTTTACTTCAAAAGCGCGGCGCTCGAACGAAATGGGAACGAAAATATTTGTTCAACCTTAAAAATGCGGAGAAGCAAAAATATTAAAAATAGCCGTGAAAAGTGTCAGGGAAAATGTTGAGAAATGGGAAATGTTTCGTTTCTGGAAATGTCTTCATCACGCAAATAGGATTTTATTATAATTACCAACAATTACTCAAGTTCACCGCAGCCTTCAATGAAAAGCGTGCCACATATCTAGTCATGTCATCAACTAAAAGTTTATGTGTGTTTATGTCGCGTGGGCGTGGCAAGTGGCAACTGTGAGTGGCATAAGCCCAACTTGCCTCTCGGACCCACCCTACAGAAATGACTAATCTGCGATCAACCAGAACGACAGGCAGTAATCAAGATTAAAGGGTATGGCGGAATCAGCACATTACTCGGAACATGCAATTATTTCAACTTTGCAAACAGCTCATCCTCTTGCTAGATACTTGGTGATGCATATAGAGCCTTAACCTTCGGATAATCTTAAATGTCATTCCGCGATCTCGATTTCGGTCGGCGATCTTCTTAATTAATAATCCGCTGCCGTTGTCGTTGCCGCAGACGAGCCTAATTAAATCTATTCAGTTGCTTACTAATTAGCCATTCACTGCAATTTACTTGCACATACAACCCAGTGAACTCAGGACCCTTTCCCTACAAACGGAAAGAGTGATGGCTATTATATTATTAACGTTATGTAAAAGTTAGGACCCTTTTCAGTGCAAAGTCGTAAGGCGGAAATAGTACTGACGGCATATTGCGCAAACGTGAATAATAAAACCATACATTTTGTGCCATGGAATGCAACAAATTGTCAAACGTGAATAATAAAAGCAAGCATTACTTGTTGGATACTTAATAGCTTCCCAGATGTAGAATCTCATGATGACACACAGAATGCGCAGAGAATAAGTACATATGCATTTCTGACAGTGTAGGGATATAATCTACAGCAGCGAATATGGTTGAGTGTTGTATTGTCACAAGGCTTCTCTGGCACCAAACTGGGCCAAAGTCCAATCCCAAAGCCTATCCCATCATTTCCGAATACCTTGCTGGCTGATTATTTAGGCATTCGGCGCGAATGTGCTGCAATTTTGATAAACGCTCGTCGAGCTATGCATGCAGTTGAACAAACCCAGATTGCATGTCAGTCAAATGCAAAGTGAAACTTTCCGTCGAAGCTCCAACTCCGGGGGAACCTCCGTCAGCTTTTAGGGTTACAAAGTCGTTTCCACCCCGAGATTGGGGCAACTTACACTCGTAAGTTGCAAGTTGAGCGCGTTGCGATATGGCGGCAGTTTGTGGGAGTTGTGGGCGGAAATCTGGAACGGGCTGGCAATCAACACGTTTCTTTTGGGGGCAGACTTATGTGCCGCAGATGCTAGGGGCAGATCCCAAATGTTGCAAGTCCAACTCGCAGTGCTCCTCGAGCTTGGAGCTTAATGGAAAAATTGCATGTGAACCGCGCTGTCGGTGTGGGAAACTGGAAACTTCGTGCCCCATTGTGGAGACCAGTACTTTGGGTGGCTGTTACTATACAATACTTACTGTACTTCCATATGACATGGTCGCAAAGGGCAATGAACTTGGCGTAGTTCATAGGCTGACAAAAGGGGCCACAAGTGCAACCTGCAGGCGGTGTAAACTCTTGCAAATTAAAATAGCAGCCATTAATTAAATTAACGATGCCAGGCAGCAGCCAAGTTATTTGAAGTGGCTTCAAAATTTAAATCAAAGTCTTGTGAGAGACCGGATTTTTCCACGTACATAGGCCGCTTTCTGGTGCAGCGATGATTAAAGCCGAATTCCGATGGCCAAAACCAATGGCGAAAACATCTCGTCCAACAAATACTTACGCACTTAGCGGCCACCATTCTGGGGTCCAAATTCGATTCCGATTCCGATTCGGATTCGGATTCGGATTCAGACTCGTATGTTTGTGACCATTTTTGGGGGGCAGTTGCGGCTGCCACATCGGTTGGCATAGTGCAACCACGGCGAGCTGACAGGCACAATATCAATTTTCCGAGTCCGAGGAATTACAGTCATTACCATTAGTAAAGTGCCACCGACTTGGAGCGGACGCGCAAATAAACCATTCTGCAAACGATCTGACAATTCAGCTGTCAATTAATTTCAATATATTGAAATGATTATAATTTTCATCTCGGTTACGCCGCTTTTCGCGGCACTTTTTCGGCTCTCAATTGCATTCAATTGCCAATTGCCAACTGCCAATTGAACTGCCAATGCGAATGCGAATCGAACGCAAATTGCAATGTTTATGCTGGTTGTTTATGGCCAAATGCGGTCGCTGGCCGAAAAAAATGTAAACACGTTTTCGGCCAATGCGTTGGCACACTTCTCCGGCCTTTCCCTCCCCCTCCCCTCCCCCTGTTCCCACACGCATTCCCCTCTGCCTTTTGACTTATCTAGGCTTTCGCTTAAACGCACCTCAAAGTGTTGGCTAAGTGCATTTAACCCGACCGCCAGCGCTTGACGTTTAAATTGGCCGGAGAAACGAGTTTTATGGCCGCCATCGCAGCCGCACTCGTCATCATCACTCAAATTTTCAAAACCAAGAACACTAAGTGTGCGATCAAAAACACTCTTCAAATATAAATGAGCCAAATATAAATTCTTGCTTCGATGTTCACTTCATTAGAAGGGGAGTGAAAACCTTGCTATGCATAAACTATCAAATTAAAAGTACTTATTTGGCAAGTATGACTGCATTTCTTGCGGTGCATTCCACAACTTAACAACAGTTTAATCAAATATTTACTTGCACACATAGTCGCGGCGGCTAATCGCACGCATAAAGCAGGCAAAGTCGAGCTTTTTGACACTTTTATAAGCCAGTTCCCCATCGCCTGTCGCATAAATTACCCGGCCAAAAGGCTCCCGGCGGAAATTGGCCATATACCACGAAGATATCCGCCAACGGCGTCCAACTGGATATGGGATGCGATTCATTAGTGGGTTAGCTAGCGATTGTGGACTGGGAAAGCGAATAAGCTGGTTACAGGTGGTCCCAAGAACTCCGAGCTTCAATTAGAGCAGAGTAAAGCTCGTCCGAGCCACTAGAACATTTGGAATGCGGGATTAGATATAATAGGCCAAAAATCTGAGAATCAGAATATCAGAATATCTCCCATCTTTACATTTTGGGTTTGAATGGAAGGCTTCTGAATGGAACGCACCCAACTACCAACTAATCGCTACCAATTTCCCCTTTCAGCCTCCGCGGCGCTGCGATGCTGGCGCTGCTCGACGGACGTGTCCAATGGCGAGTTCTGCAACGATCCCTTCATGCCGGAGACCATTTCGGAGCAGCAGCGCTACTGGAGCTACGTGAACTGCACCTACTCCGTGGGCGCGAAGTCGGTGAATGCCCGGCCCGTGTGCAAGAAACTGGTGCAGGAAGGTGAGTTCCCACACCTGGAGGCAGACATCAGACATCAGCCATCAGCCACCCGGTGGCAGTGGAGCTCCGAGGAAAACTTTGCATTGTGGCGACCACTTGTGCGGGCCTTGGACAGCTGCGCTGGGGAGCAACGCCAGTGGGACAGGCCCGAAGTTCCAGAGGAATGCCGCCATTGAGCAGGCTGTGGTGTTCCGTGCGCTGCAGATTCCCGCAGCAGGGCGGGGATCGCTAGATCGACGCAGCTCGCAGCCGGCTGCGGCCGAGATCCAAACAAGATTGAAATTTATTGCCCTGACTGGGATCTGGGCGTTCAGAGGGGCGTGGCAGGTGGTGTCTGGGCGGGTCACAACAACCGCAGCAACCGCAACAAGTGGCGACTTTTTGGCCGCACTGCATGTGCCGCTAATTTGCGGCAAATTGATGTGGAGAAAGAGCAGGCGAACGGGGCGTATGAGTGATATTTGCTGTGGGCTGTGGCTGTGGCGATCTCAAGTCCGATTTTGCGCCTGCCTTTTATTGCCAGTTTTTGGGTATGGTCATTGTTACTGTTGCTGTCCGCAAGCGGAGCAATTGCACATTTGCATACGACCAGAAACGCAAACAAAAACAAGGCACAGAAAATAGAGTTGTGAGGCGATCCGTGTCGTTACATTTCGATCTAAATTCACCTTGCATTGTTGGCCGCTGAATAAATTTACCTGCGGCAGACGATTCGGGCTCGGGTTTGCAATGTGGGTCAGTCAGGCAAACAATGAGGTAAGAAATTATACGCTCTATAAAAATCAGTAATAATAGGTTGGCAAATATCTCCCTTCCGCTTTTTTGCTCTTTATTCAATGCTTTATAAGAAGTGTTACAGTGATCGGATTTAGTTCAAATATGCGCCGTTTTGCTCGATAATCTGTTTCCATCTAGACGGCAACTTCATAATACCTCCCTCGTAGAAGCCCCCCTCCTTATTTGCGAAGAACTCGGACAGCCACTTTTCACAAGCCTCTTTTGAGTTCACCTTTACACCACCAAGGGCATTCGCCATGGACAGGAACAGGTGGTAATCACTTGGCGCTATGTCCGCGCTATATGGTGGATGCGATATCCGAGCTCCCGTAGCTTCTGATATAGGCATAGAAAAACTATAAACACAAATGTGTGGGTGCCCCACAAATCACTTTGAAAGGTCGCGAAAAGGGAAATTCTAAATATGTTAGCTTGCGATACCTACTCAAATTGCCGGCTAATTCATTGCCATTTAATACGCATCAAAAGCAGCCACAAGAAACGGCGTCTGAGATTTAAGCAATTTCTTATGGCCAATTAAAGAACACCATTAAATTTTAGCAATCAAGCGCCTACAAATTGGCTCGCCGACTCTCTGCAAGTTTGAGTCTGGCAGTTGGCAATTAAAATTGCAATTGCAGACTCTCGGCCATCGCTGTATCTGTATCTGCGACTGAGTTCGCTCCGCAGCTACATGAGCAGCGCTTGTAATGCGCAAGATACATAATATGCGGGCCGAGCGGCTAAGAAAAACAAAAATACACAAGATACATATAAATTAATTAAGTTGTTGCACAGCGTGAAGCGCTCAATTACGACTCCAAGATGAGGGGCAGAATGTGTCTGAGAAAAATGCAACTAGGCGATGCAACTGGTTGCTGCCATCTGGCTTTTTATTTGCCGTTAAGTGAATTGGCCAGAAGCCTCGCGAGACGAGTGGCCAACTTTTGGCAAATGTCAAATTAAAAGCGTATTCCACAATGCCAAAACACAAAGCCAAGCAATTAGCCGCAGGCTGAGGTTTTGCTCTGTGTCCGTAGGCAGCTTGCAACCTGTTGCAAGTCCGCTTTTGACCATTTCGGCCTACAGCTTGTTTCTGGTTTTTCTCCGGGGAAACGACGAGCCAAAGGGAGGCACACATCAAGTCAGCTGCTGATACAAATGTCCCGACTTACGAGTTAACTTGTTAACTTTCGGGGCTGACAAGTTTTGGCGCTTATCCACTCGAGCAGCTCTCAAGTACCAACTACTCACTTGCCATTAAAGGTTACTGCTCTATTGTTAGAGCAGTAGCCCAGTAAAGGCGTTAAAAGATTCACCAGAAACAAGCGCATTTTCATAAATAATTAAATTAATTAAAATCGAAATTTGTGGCGCTTGACTCACGCGGCGTATGCGCAATGCGGCACACATACAAGTGGTTGCTGCATGCTGCTGGTGGCTCTGAGTTGTGGGCTTGTTCGATGCGGCGTCCGTGATAAGGCGACGATTGTCCACTGTTTTATTAGCCCCACTGTAGTCCGCCGTCCAGCGTCCAAGCCAATCGCAAAAATGGCCAGCTCAGGCCATTTCGAGCGGCTTTAAAGTTCGCCTTTGCCGTGTTCCATTGGAAATGATTTTACCAGTTTGTCGTTTTGTTCTATTTGCCGCGCACACACAACGCGCAATTTGTTGTGGCTTTTTGTGCGATTTCGGTTTTTTTTTTTCTGCTGCCGTCTGATTGAAAATTGTCTCTAGTTTCGTGTTGATTTCGTGTTGATCTTGTGATCTTATTAAAGTGTATTGAATCTGTCTTTGCCATGAACCCGATTACAGGTGGAAATAGGTCAGCGAACACCCTCAAAGTCCTTTCTTAATCACTTTCCTAATAAATCTTAGTCAGACTAACAATACCCTGGAATCCAAGAACATTTCTTTACATTTCCTTCAATCAAATGGTCAAATGATCAGATGGAAGAATACCCTTTTACGAGTAACGATTATTTTCCGATTATTCCGATTATTTTGCCAATTTTTCTAATCTTGTTAAGTGTAACCTCGTTTTTTTGTCGTGCCGCATTTTCAAATGACGTTTATGAGGCTTTATTCACGGCTCAAGAAGCAGACACTAATTAAAATGGGCTAATGAAAATATTTAATAATTTACTTAATTTAATATTTCAGTCTACGGCAAGCGGGTGATCTCGCGTTCCTGTTTCTACGAGGACATGGACGACTCGGCGGACAAGTGCGCCAATGACCAGACCTCGTCCTACATAAAGACCGTCTACTGCCGCACGTGCACCACGGACGGATGCAACGGAGCCAGTGGCGCCACCCCACCAGTCCTGCTCCTGATCCTGCCGCTGTGGCTGGCAGTATCCTTCCGGCACTTGCTGCTGTGCAAATGAGCCAAGGATCTGGCTTAAGGCCCGGACTGAACCGCGTTGAACTGGCCGGGAATTCCGGTGCTCAGCCGGACTCAACTGAATTTTTCAACAAGTTTTAGTCACTTTGCCCTCACGAATCTGCACAAGAATCACACAAGAACTGGACTGGGTCACCCCCCGACGTCCTCCGCGTAAATGTTACTGGGTCACCTCAGCCACGAAACACCTACACAGAAGGTCACCTCCACACCCGTCATAAAACACTCGATCACACTTGACTTTGTTGTAATATGTACATCCATGTAATATCTTAACTATTGTATTTAAATCGTAATAAATCGTAATTAGATGGTATGCAAGAAGTGGACTCATAATTGCTCGCACTATTACTCGAATACTCAGGATTATAATGCTTTTCCATTTTAAGCATGGGGTAATAGGAGAAAAGATCAAGTTAGCTTTCCCGAAGTTAGGATCTACCGCACACAGTTGGCCTTGAAACACCTAGCACTCCGAGATGTGGCAAGGACACAGGGAAAAACCCACCTCCACCCGCTCGATGCCCAAGGACCTGGTGGACCCCGAGAGGCGGCTGCCGCCGTGGAGCCGGCTTCTGGAGCACAATGCGGAAGGTTGTCCGCGGAGGAGGAGTGGGGAGAAGGAGGAGCACTACGAGGTGGAGATCAGCAACCACCTGTGGTCACTTTGGGGCACCACGCAGCAAGTGAGTCCAGGGGAGCATGGCTCCGCGCTGGAGTCCGCATCCGGCAGGACCGCAGCTCCAGGCCAGGTGCTGGCATGCTGTGTGATGGCCTGTTGCGCCGGCACCTTTCAGTGCCTGGACTCCTGGAACTCCAGCGCGCTGGACACGATCATGCTGAACGGGCAGGGCTACTACAACGAAAGCTTGGCGAGCAGGCAACGCTGGGCGCGCAGAGGGGATCTCTGCCTGGAGTGCCTGAACACCACCTGCTTTCTCGAAGGTCGTGAGTTTTGGGTGGACATCGAGAAGTTCAACACCGGCAAGCTGTACAGCAGGAGCAGGAGTCTGGGACACGCGCTGAGCGTGTTCTTTGGCCAGCACTTGCAAACGGGGGTTCTCCAGCTGAGGGACCAGGCTCTGGCCTTCGGCTTCATACCCGAGTTCGCCTCCGGAGGAGCCTTCTTCCTGTTCCACTGCCAGGCGCGCGGGAGGCCCCTTTTCAGGGACTGCGAGAGCGCCCCATATGTGCTCCGGATGCGGAAGCTGCAGCAGCTGCTCTACTGCATGCTCGTCACTCTGGACGAGAAGCGCCACAATGTGCCCTTCAGGATCTACAAGGTGGGCTGTGTTCCCCGCTCTAATTAGCCGGACTACTGGCCAAACTGAAATGTATACCTAAAATTATAGTGCGCGCATTAGGCCAGAATATACAGATGGCAAAGATATCATACAGTGCCCGAAAAGGTGAGTGACATCAGTCATCTAGGCACCGACGTAAGTAAGTATGCATTTTGTCAGCAAATCAAGAGCAATTGTCCCACATCACTGCGCTTGACATTGCATTTAATCCACATTTATGGTCTGCGAGCGGAAATGAGTGCGGTGCGTCCCTCAATTGGCGGAGTTCGCTAATTGGCAACCACGCGAATGCAAACTCCTTCTTGACGTTTGACCCCGCCAATTGAGCGTAGGATTTGCAGGGCTGAGAAGTCAGATTGCTACTGAATTCGGGTGCCTTAATTAAAATCGCATAAAACCGGCGGTGTGCGTAAATAAAGTTTGTCACATGGCACGAACGGCGAAGGCTGTCATGAAAAAGAAAAACACTTACAAAATAAATATACGCATATATAAAATGGGTGGCAGCTAGGCTTTCGGCCACTTAAACTTGTCGCACGGCTTTTATTTGCTTTGCACCTTAGTTTTATTTTTGTTGTGGCGAAAATGTCGTACAGAGTTTCCAATAAAACCGGCCATTTATCATGGGGCAAACACTGCGAACCGACAATCGAATGTTACGCATACGCCCCGGAGGGCAGCTGTTGGCTGTGATCGCTGCGCATGCGCAGTCAGTGCGGTTTCGGTTTCCACCGACCAGGCCTTAACCCCGGCTATTCTTGGCCCGATCCGGTCCGGTCCGATCCGATCCAACCAATTCCATTGGCGCGCTGTCAGCTTTCGGGCATGGAACTACTGGGAGGAGGAGCAACTGAGCCGCAGATTAGTGTCAAGATTTGCATACGAAATCGTATATCTGCCAGGTGCGTGTGGAGTGTTGCCAAATTTGGCTAATTCCGCCGAGCTGCAGTCCCCAAATGCTGCGGCACTGCATCCTGCACTCATGAATCATTTTCGCTGGCGATTTCAGCCGTTTATAATAGCTGTTTGCGTTCGCAGCTAGATAAGCCAGCTGCCTAATGAGGGGGAAGTGTTTCCACTGGATTAAGTCACTTGAGGAGTGGCGTTAACCGATCGTGGCTGAGTTCATTAAAAAGGCTTCTTTCTACCTGCTGAATTTTTCGTTTTAGTTCAGTTGGCGTGAAACTCGGGAGGAAGAGCTTTTGAGGCTGACACGGTGTCCCCGCTAAGCGGTGTTGCCAACCGCGCTGCTTTGGGGTGACCATGCCGTAAAACAATTCGTTATATTAGCTTTTCCGATGCTTTTTACGTGCTATAGCTAACTTATTTATTATAGGTATACTGAAAAGATCGTTTCAATCGAAAACTTAGAGTATCTTAAGAAAATATTCATTAACATATAACAGCAAGTATTACTTCAGGGGTTGTTCTTGCTTGCATCATAACAAGTTTGTAAATATTGAAATGGAATACCCTGAAATTTTGAAATCGAAACCGTGAGCGGAGATAAGGGGTGTTTAGTTTTTATATTTATTTTTTATGTTTGCTCAAGGCTTTGTGTTCTTATTAAACTCCCAAATGCGCCATGCTAATAGCTTCCATCTTACTTTATACTTGAAGCAAGTAAATGCCGTGAGTAATTAATACATGTCTAAAAGGTATAGTAATTGTATTACAGCCAGATACTAACCCTTTTTCTGCTTGTTCTTCCGGCGAAAAGTGACAAATGAAACGTCATCAATTTGACTGCATGTGAGCTGCGCCCCCATGAAGTCGAAAAGGGCAAGCGCTGAGTCTGGCTGGCTGTCTGGTGGGTATCCCTCGGATGCCCGGGAACTGGGGGCTTCCCCAGAAGCGGCGAGGCAGCAACAACTGCAAGGCGGACAGCGACGCGACTGCGCTGCCGGCAACATTCAGTGGCGAGGCTCTGGCAACATCCACAGTCGTTCCTCGGCCGAGCAACCGTCTGCATCGCGCGCACTCTCGAAGCGATTGGGATCCGATTGCCCATCCAACCCCCGAGGAGCTAGTACACACCGGGCAGAGCAGAGGCGCCAGCAAGTCGCCACAAGTCCGCATCCCCGAAGGATTCGCACAAACATTCCAAGGAAGCCATGTCAGCGGTGCCGATGAGAGCCTTTCTGGCTGGTGTCTTTTTGCTGGCCAATGCCTGGCACATCACAGGTGAGCTGTGTTCCGCGTCCCAGTGTCGATCGGCACCTGGGAAACCCGGGAAAGCCCGGGAGCTGCTCTGATTTTCCGGAAGTCCGAGGGTCAGTGGTTTTCCAAGTAAACAGCTCACCCAATTACAAAAGGTACTCAAAATTAGGCACACTTTCGACCGCTGTTTTCTGCTGGCCACTTGTAATTCCATCTGGCCCACAAGGTCGCCGATACGCGTAAAGTTCGGGGTGAAGGTGTGATGGTTTTCAAACGCAGAGCCCATGAATGAAATTAGTTTCCCATTTTGCCGCAATTTGTTTATGTACTTTTTCCGCCGGCCGTTCGACGATTTTCCCTTGCGGTGTTTATGAAAATTCCCAAAATTTGGCTTACAACTAAAAGTTTCAGGTGAAATCCATAAAATATAGTTGCTATTTATGTTCCTCTCGATTCGAAAGCGGATTTATGGACGACACTTAAAATGATGGGTCTGCTTTTATCTGTCGTAAACAAATTAATAAAGGATGGGTGGAATATAATGAAACATTAATGGCTTAAATATAGAAGAGCTCATTTGTGTATTTTGCTTGGAACACGTGTAGAAAGAAAAAATGTGAGCAATACTATTTATTGCGAGGCGGTAGACCAGTTTGAAATTACAAGATAAGGTGTTTCGTTGTCTTATGGTTTATTTATTTTACAACAAAACAAATGTACTGCCTATTGTATAGTTATCCTGATTCTTAAGTAGGTTTGCAGAGTAGGGTAAGATAATAGTAATAATATACTGCGCATAGAACAAATTCGTGGGTCATTGCTTCCTTGATGAACATCGTTTATATATACACGTGCATGTCCGCGTTTCGAGAATTTTCACGCTTTTCAATGATTGGCAACCTGCACGCCCTATAAATACAAATATTCGCGCGACTGCCAGCGTCTTCGATATTTATTTTCACAGTCATTTCGGAACGGCTCATGATGGCCAAACAGAATCCAAACGCGAATGCAGTTTCCATATTCCATGCCCGTTGAATGCCTTTCAATCGCTCCTGATTTTGATGGGCCTAATTGAGGAACGGGGATTGTGATTAGGTCATTAGGCGGTGAATCGGAGCAGCAGCTCCTGCCCCCCGGTGCTCCCAGTTCGCCTTCTCGCTGTCCTGCAATTATCCAATTGCTCCGTTTGCCCGGGTTTCAATCTGGGTTTACGAGGCGCGGGCAGTGCGCATGTCAGAGTGGCGCCAGGATGGCGCCTGCTCCAGTTTCCCGCTGTCCTCGGCATCTGGCATCCCACATCCCACATCCCACATCGCACATCCCCCGGAAAATCCGCAGCCCACTTGGGGGAAACTATGTCAGCGTCTGGCCGTCTCCTTGGGGTTAGTGCTGCGTTTCCCGACTCCAACTGCGCAATTTGCGCAAACTGATAATGGAGAAAAGGGGAGATAAGAGTTTCGGGTACGCCCGTTCAGGAAGCGCAGATTATCCTGCCACACATCCGATCCGTATCGCATTATATTTGTTATCTGCTACATTTTTAGGGGTTGCTCCTGCTCATGCAAAGGAGGTACAGCTCCTCGGAGGACAGGGGCGTGGAGTGCCACTTCCTTCGAAACAAGTCTCAGCTTTCAATTACCCGGGAGCTGCTTTACTTCACTTTAAAGGAAGCCACACCAAGTCGAGCCATGTGCGTGACCTCAGCGAATGCTTTAGAGTGTTGAGCGTGGGCGATAAAAACGCCTGAACGGCGACCTTGGACGGCACTGCAAAAAATGCTTGGAATTTCTATTCTATAAGGGAATATTTAGCTTGCTTGGTAGCGACTCAGCTGCAGAATTGAAAGTCCTGGCATTTTTTCCGAGCGTCGCTGCGGGAAACAACGAATTACTCACACTACAACTGGCAACTGTGCCAATTACCTGAAACTGCTCCAAAACCCCTGAGCACTAGAACCTAAATAATACAAACTGCATTTGCATAGGACCCGTCGATACAAGGCTGCCCCACTCTTCATGCAACTGGCATCCCAAGGTCACTGCAACTGAAGTCTGCCTCTATATCACATTGTAATTCAGGTGGGCAGGAGAATTATAAATATGCTGTAGTCAATATTTGACAGCCAGCACTCCTTCAAGGAACCCCTTCCCAGACCTCTTTGGCCTCGAGGTGCTCTAGTGGAGCGACTGGACTCGTGGCATGTTGCCTTTCCCGTGGTAAACAGGCATGTCCTGGCAGTTTCGCAGGGCAGGACATGCAAACTCCTTCAAGGACGCGACCGACGATCTTGATTCACTGTCGCGCCAAATCACGCAACCTCATCAGCACAATTAGAGGAGTTTCCCGCGCCGCTTCACACATCGGTTGAGCTCTTGGACTAATTAAATCATTTGGCTAGTTCTATAAATAGTTTGTTATATGAATTCTTATGTTTAAGGTGTGAAAACTAATTGAATGTGCGAAACGAGCGCGGTGAACGGAAGGAAAACAAATTATGAATACAAAAATAAACAGAATCCGAACAAGTGATATCTTCCCCTTTGCAAAAGGGGAAAATATCAAAAAGACTTCCAGGCTGCAATGATTGAACTCAGTTAGACAAACTTTTTGTATTTAATTCGCTGTGGCAATAGAAAAGTCGAACTTTTCACAGTAAACGAAGAAAAGGGTATATATTTTCTAAGAGAAGTAATTTTTTTTTTTTTTTTTTTTTTTTTTTATTTACAATCTGTCTTGTTTTAATACTTAATGCCTGTCAGGGAGATCTAACACGTGAAATCTTTTCAGTCTTCTGACGTTATTATTATTATTTGGCAAACTTAATGCTAAGTTATTTTCTTAGTTATCTCCTAAGTTATGTTCTTAGTCTGCCTGTATATTTTTTACTATGTTTCGCTATTTCTTCTTCAACATAAGGGAATCCTAAGTGTTTATGGCACTACTATTTTTTCTATCAGCACCCCTAGCACCGAAATACTTGTAAAGGGTACTGATATCAATGACTTATATCAATTTATAATTTAATTTAATTAATTAATTGTGTATATCTGCTGCAAAAACCACAATTATGCAATTAGTTTAAGTAAAAAGGGTGCAGTTTATAAAAAACAATAACATGATACTAAGAGTACAGGGTGTTTTTGGTTTCAACTCACTACTTCACCCCGCCCCAACAGCTAGAATCTATACTAGAATCGTATACGTAATAAATTGGACGGAGGCGCCACGGCGACTGGCCACGCACTCCCCTGGTTCCACGCAGGGGCGAATTTCGAAAGGGGCGGCACTTGAAGACGATGATGTCAACCTCTGGCCTGAATTTAGGTCGCGAGCAATGTATCCTTTTCGGAGGATACAATATGATGACCCCAAGAAAGGTCAACTGCAGCTGGTCCACTGATGGCTTCTTTTACTACTTTACTTGCAGCTGTGAACGAGCAGCACCAGAAGCATCATCTGCAGTGCTGGCACTGCAGCTCGGACACCATTGGGGCGGAGGACTTCTGCGACGTGACCTTCCAGGAGGATAACATTCCCACGGAGCTCATCAAGGAGCGCAACATCAACCTGCTGCGGAGCTGCAACAGCACCATTAACTCCGACCACGAACGGGCGGTTTGCCGCAAGACCGTGGAGGAAAGTGAGTACATCGGGCTGAATGTGCGTCGAAAAGAACTGAGAGCCACCCCATACCAATTCCAGATAATGGCAAGCTGATCACCAAGCGGTTCTGCTACTACACCAACAAGTCGGATCCCGTGGAGCTGTGCAACATCACCAGTCCCGAGAAGAACGTGCGGCGCATATTCTGCGAGGACTGCCTCACCGACCGCTGCAACGGAGCCTTCGCAGGAGGCTCCATCCTGGAGCTGCTGCTGCTGCTGCCCACCGTGGCCCTGCTCCAGCAGTTGGCCATCTAAGCGGGAGTTGCCAGTCGTTTTTCAGTTGGAACGTGATATTTTGCTCGAACTTACTTGTTTCGGGGTCACTGGCCCCTCCACTCAGCAGCTTACATTCGATGGATTCAGATGCTTGAGGTGCCATAGGTTCATAGTTTGCCTGGCCGAGTGCCGATGTTTGCCCAGCTCAAAGCTCAGACTCCAAGCGAAATCCAGTTCACACGTTTACCAAGCAACACAACTATAAGTAAATGAGACAGTAATCAGTAGAGATTAAGCCCCAAGCACATAAATACTCACTTATTAGCCTATGACGACATGATGTTTTATGTAAAGAACTCAAGCATTCACCTATGTAATTATCTCAGAAGCAGACAACCAACACGCACTTAAAATCAAGGTATTAAAGCACCCGAATATACAAAACCGAATAGCACATACTGGTATAATCGCATATAATTGTGGCTCAATGGGTTGTGCCTATAGGAATCTTAGCAGGTCTATGACTGCGTCCACAAGTCGTTGTTTTGTGTGCTGGTCCAGCCCAGGATAGAACTCCTCCATTTGGATGCTCTGCCAGAGTTTGGCCACGTATCCGCCGAACTCCAGGCTATTTTTCCCGCCACTCTTATAGCGCTCGTAGAGCATCAACTCGGCCTCGACCATTGAAGCATAGGACTCCCGGTTGCCGAGGTACAGCTGGTAGAGCAGCGCGGCCAGCCTGGTGGATCCCTCCAGGGTGTAGACGCGTCGAATCACTGCTTCTATGAGCCTGCTCAGTTGGCCTGGCTTGAGCAGACAGTGGAGTCTCCGGGAATGCTGTCCTATGGCCAGCTGCCACTTGCCCAGCTCGTGATCCTCGGATTGCAAGGCTTGCTGGAAGAGATCAGAGCTGTTCAGAGTCTGCAGATGCTCGCGGATCTGCTCGCGAATGAGGTAGCCCTGCAGGTGGTGGCGAACTGTCACGTTGCTCTGCTTGCGGCACACCACATGGTTCAGCGTCTCCTCCAGGTCCTCGATTTTGGCCACATCCCTGGGGTAGTCGGCCCTCAGCTTGCCCCACGTGGCTGCCGCCAGGAGGAGCTGCTCGGCTGCAGTGCCATTGAAGTCCGCGATCAGGAGAAGCATCCGTTTGTGGTCATAGCTGGCCACCTGCGTGCCCAAAGCGGCATCCGCGGGCGTAAACAGCAGGGGCAATGCTAAAAGCAACGTAGCCATCATCTCGGAATCTCAACTGCAACTGAACCAGGAGCAGCTGGGTTATCTTGAGCCCGTCTTATCAGTGGGTTCTCTCGCAAAGTTCTCGCACGCCTCGATGGGCACATACCCCTTAAGGGCAATATGGCTTCTAAATGGTAAAGTATTATTTAAGGTCCTGATGTAATCACCTCACTACGCTCGTAAATCTGCTTCCATTGATCCCTAATTTGGTACCACCATCAAAACTTTCTCCGTGTAATCCAACACCTACAAATGGGTCTTCCGGAGCAAGAAATATGGACGACCCCATGGAGAGGTATTGCTTCCTGTGTCCCTGTTTCCCACTGCTACACTAATCCGCAAGGCTTTCACTGGGAATCCAATTAGTCAGCCTTCATGCGAGACAAGGGAGCCCTCAGCGATATCCTGGCGTCGTCCTTGTTCTAGTGCCCCAACGTAGCCTTCCGTTACTCATTCGTTATTCATTTTGAGCCCCATCTAATTAAACTCATGCAAATTATCTGCCGTCGCTGCTGATTAGTGTCAGCCCATCTCATCTGCGCCTCATTGGGTTTCGATCGAGCTCGATGGCTCGATGAGATGGGGGCCAAAGGAGTGGCTCTGCATTTGGTGACATACTTTTGGGCGGAAGCTGAAATGGCTTGAGTTGGCTGTCTTTGGAGCACTTCATTTGTCACTGTGTACTGGTGTACTGATGCCACAAATAAACACGAAGATTCTGTCACCTAGAATGTTGTATATACAAACAACACTTTAGGGAGCGAATGCTAATGAATTCAGATCATTCTCAAACACGCAGTATACTTCAAGCTGAGATACATTCCGATAATAAGTGGGAATACTCTTTTGCAATATTACTCCGCCTGCATCTGAAGGCATATAGAACAAACAACTAACGTCACAGCCAAAATAAAACGAATTCAAAACCGAAATCGCAGTGGAAAACCGGTTTTCCAACCCTGGAAACTGCGATAGAAACCAGCAGCAACTTTCCACTCAAAACAAAACACAGAACGCATTTCGAGACGGAAACTTTGAGTAGATTTCATTATTTCAGAGGGGCTTCGCCATTGCCACCAGCGCCACACAATTTCAGACGTGCAGCAGACATCGCAGACGGCGGTTGATACTCGTGCCTGACTCTGAAAAATTCATTTTCCACAAGCAACTCCCACCCAAGTTTTCGTGAAAATGGTGTCCGCTCTGAAATGCAGTTTGGCCATGGCCCTTGTGATCAGTCTGGCTTGTTCGGGTGCGTTGGGTGTGAAAATTGGTGTTTGACGGAGTTCAAGTTCATTTTTAGAGCCTATTATACCGGGTATTATAGGTGTTTCGGTTCCGCGCACTTCGAACATCATTTCCCGCAGGAGATTTCTTTGGTCCAAGGTCGTTTGGTCCCAGTAACTTCATTCATCAGACATTAGACTATCGACTATCCTTTTAAAGTCCTACTTCGCGGCTGAGCCTGGACCGACCAAAGCTCCTGTCCTTAGGCGCCGATCTCGCACATACATCTCGCTATATATCAACCCTTCTAATCCATAGCCCACGCCATCAAGTGCTACCAGTGCGAGTCCCTCACGATGCCCAAGTGTGGGCTCAAGTTCGAGGCCGACGAGACCCTGCTGCTGGACTGCTCCCGGATCGGACCGCCCCGCTACCTGCAGAACTTCTTCCCCCTGCGGAACGCCACTGGCTGCATGAAGAAGACCCTCGAGAGCGGTGAGTTCAGAGTGCCACACGGCACACAGTCCCTAAAGCCGGGACTGAAACTACGACGCCTCATTATCGAGGTGGCGCAATTCAGAGATACAACGCCCTGAGGTCATCGCAGAAAATCGGTTCGCGTTAGTCTCTGATGTCATGCGTGAATGTTTCGCTACCTGCTTTTCAGGCGTTACTTATTCCCCTCAAAGTGATTCCTAGTCACGTTTATTTGCGTCTTATTTTCCGTAATTACTCAAATTGAGAGCTTAATTCCAGATCGTAAGCAAAGTAATAATGCCAGTGACGGGCATTCCGATTTTTTAAATTTGCATATCTGAATTGATTCAGAATTAATTAATCCGTCAAAAATATTGCAAGCAAACCTGCTCCGCGCCCAGTAAGTTTAATTAAAAGTTTGTAGAAAAATACGGAAGTCGAGATCACAGAGGAATGAGTAGCTGAAACACTCCAAGATCAATACAGGCATGTTTCATCGAGGTGTGAAGCAAATTGTGGATCTCTGTTTTACATGACAACAAACCACGCTGTTCACGCCGCATTCTACTTGAATAAATAGGCAATTAACAAGTACCCAAGCCCAAATGTACCTGTACAATGGGTTCATTCAGCCAGCCCCGCCAGAGAAAGTTGTTGGCCCAATTGCTCATCCGAACCAAACAATCTGCCCATTTCAGTGGCCGGACATCCGCAGATCGTGAGGAGCTGCTACTTCGGGGACATCAACAACATCCAGGGCGGCTGCCAGTCCGATCCCTCCCTGCCCTTCGTCAAGCAGCTGGGCTGCGATGTCTGCACCAAGGACGAGTGCAACGGATCCTCCTCTCTGACCCCCGTGGCCGGAGCCATCCTGCTCTTCTTCGGCGTGGCTCGTCTGCTGGCCTAACCTAACTAGCTATTATTTACCTGTGGGTAGTGCTTAACGATCTTGTTCTCTGTAAATTTTCTGTTCTTTCAAAATTTATTTTAACAATAAATGCAGGACAAATGGTTGTCACAGCAACATACCAAAATACATCGCTCTCTTTCGTTACCAGTTAGAAATATTCTGGGATCATACGATACAACTTATGAAAACCTAGACGTGCGCGTAATTAGAAGCATTTATAAAAGTGTTTAAATTGAAAAACCCACTCATTTACCTTGAAAATAACGTTTCGCTACAGCAGCAATTTATTTAAATCGAATACTTCGCTTGAAAGAACTCACAATTAAAATGCCCTACCCGTGACACATCAACTTACAAAAACAAGTGTTGATTGTTTACTTGTAACTCCACTTCCGCCCATGTAAGTCATCACCCAGCCTCAAAAAGTGTTCCCAAAGTATTGGTAAAAATAGTAATTCTACTAATCGCAATTTGTTCGGGGACTCGCCTTGAGTAGAGTCACATTGAAACCGAAAAGCAGTTCAGTGACTCAGAGCAGAACAGAAACTGAATCGAATACCCGTAAAATACCTGGAGTTGCAGGCTGAAACACCTGGGATCTAATTAGTGTGCACCCACATGAGCAGCCAAATTATGTATGTTCGTATAGGGGGTCACTCAATTTCGCCCCTGTTAGGGATGTGGGATTTATGCACGTCTGCCTTCTTAATTACATTTAATTGAGCTCTGTTTCAGTAATTCTCGTACCCTTCGGATTTGAGTTTACAAAGTGTTAAATGCTGCTCCGCAGAGTTCAAGGAACTCCAGTGAGAGATCCGAGATCACATCTGCAGATCGAGGGGCTCTGGAAGCTGCACCATCCCAAGGCTCTCCGCCCGCGTGCCCCAATTAACCCAAACTCATTTGGCATCATTTCAGAAATTACTTAATTGAAGAAAATAGAAATTTGTGGGAAAGCCACTTAACTGAGTGTATGTCCATGTTTGGGAAAGATTAGAACACGAAACGAAATACATTACGCTAAATATGCTTATAAGCCAATTAACTGAAGACATTTCAGCAAGGCGTTGGCTGCGTTCTGAAATTTTAGATTACAACAAATAAATATAAATGAATAACAAATTAAAGTACATCCAAAGTAAAGTACATCCATGTTAAGTTATACCAGCAGCGGAGTGTCTCGACTGTCACATACCTGGTATTCACCATGAAGAGCTTATAGCTGTCTCGCTTGCACTAGTGGGACTACTTGAGTACCGGGTACTGTACTGTACTACTGTAACGTTCTCTGTTGTTCAGATTACTCACGGGTGAGTGTTTTTCTGCGTGATAACTGCCTTTGAAGTTTTTATTTTTGCCTAACGTTATACAAAATATTGCGTAGCATTATTAAGGATGGACTAAGCAGATTTTAAGAATGGGACCATTTTGTAATTATAGAAGATGTACATACATATAACCAATCTGTGAGTGGCCAGTGTACAGAAAATATAAACTGCTACATTACTTTATATTATAACAAACGTACATCAGCTAAGGGTTAAAGCATTTCGAAGGGGGAGCTTTAAAACCAACTATACGTTCCGAAAACAGCACTGTATAGTTGTCTCACTTTCAACCGTTGTTCAATTTTAGTAGCCTGGAAGAGTCCCGTTAAAGCTCGCATTTGGGAATTTTCGGCCACGATGATCATTTCGCTGCTGATATGCAAGGAACCCAGTTTTAATTTAGAGTGAAAACATCTTGTACCAATCAATAACCAACCGCGTGTGTTTAAAATCATAACCACAGGCCAACATTTAACCTCGGTTAGGGATCAGGAAACTTATTGCGTCTACCGGTAGTGAAAAGTTATTTCTTTGTGTTTGAGTTAAAGGTAATTTGTTAGTCAATTACAGTCCTTGGTCAGCCGACATACATATGTACATATAAACGCTGACAAATATACATATGTATGTACATGCGTATCACCAGATCGCTACCGCCGGTGTCAACCTTTCTGCGTCTCTGGTAAGTCTCCAAAATAAGTGGCGCAACCAGCAGGAATCCCCTACAGCATGTAATAGTACCCAGATCGCACCATTAGGGCACAGCAAAGCCTCGCAAATAACGACCCCAATGGGAAGCCACTAAGAAGTAAATTCTCAGGTGTCGTCGTGAGTGCCAACACAACCAAGGTATGTTGATGTAACGGATCTCGGATCGGAAGGATAGATAGTTGAGAGGCCTGAAGGCCCTGCGATGAGTAACCCGAAATTATTTAGTTCATATACCTGTTGGAAAAAATAATAGAAACACGTTGGTTGAATCATTGATTTTAAATTTTGTGCTCAGAACGAAAGTAATATTTTTTAATCTTTATCTTTAATCTTTAAATTCATATATAAGTACATTTGACAACAAGGAACAAAAATATATTTTTCATCTTCATATTAACTAAAAATAATTAACATAATTTTTGGCGCTTGGAAGAAATAATAGAAACAAAACTCTTAAAACTAAGAAAAACTTCATTTTTATGAATTATCTTATAAAAATAGTTGCAATATTAATATTTAGTGGTATTTCCTTTTTTTATAACTGCTGAGCATCGACGGGGCATTGAATTCACTAAATTGACGCAAATTTCGGGGTTAATGGCATACCACTCTGACTTAACTTTTTCCCATAGCTCTTCCTTTTTTTTTGATTTAAGACCTCCTTCTTTTTAATATTCCCCATAAATGTTCTATGGGGTTTATGTCCGGGGATTGGGCCGGCCACTCCATAACATTAATTTTTTTTTGTCCTGAAACTATTTCTGAACCCCATTCTGAATATAAAAGCCGAAGTTAACCATTGTTTTTTTACAAAATCACTTATTATGAGCTAAACATACCTGAAAGTATTTAATATATTGATTTTCTTACAAAATTAACAGGGGAAAACTCAAACAAATCGCAGAAACGTAGCTTGTTTCTATTATTTTCTCCAGCTCAAACACCTGACCACTTCAAATATCGCTATGTACCGCAAATAAAGTACCGTTATGAGTGGCTTATGTGCTAACAGTTTATCCACACACACTTCGTACATAATTAGTAATTTACATGCAGGAGCGATTCTTGTTTCTATTATTTTTTCCAACAGTGTAAATACGTTTTCCATTGCTTGATAATTTTACAGTTATCTAAGAAAGAATGTGACCTATCTCGTAAATATCTTTCCTTTTAAGTAATTCTTTTGTACAGTCAAATACTCCGGGAATGTCAGCCAAGAAAACATTATATTTAACGTACATGCATATATTATTAGCCCATATCATTATATGTATTTAGCCTACATTCATATATATGTATACCATTCATTACGCCCAGGATCTTGTAGTAGGTAAACATGTGGTAAATTTCTTTAATGACGCGAACCGGCAATTGGAAGGATTTATAATTAATTAATTAAAACTAATACTGTCAGTCATTTCTACAAACCTGAATTGAAAAAAAAGGACAAACTAAATTCTCCGTTATTAGAATTATAACATGACACTTTTGATGTCAAAACTGATCCTTCTAATTATGATCCATAATGCCAAGGAATTAACGAGGGTAGGCACGATGCGCAGTTACAATGTAAACCATATACCATTAGCAAGGTAGGGCGGGTATAGAACTCGTGATAAGTAACAACTAAATCACGCACCGACAATCGTGGGTCACTTCATTCTATCTCCATACCGTTCGGTGTCATTATCCTTGTGATATTTTGCTTGCTTCGAAATTAATTGAGTTGAGTCAGGAAGTTGAGTAAAGGAGATCATACGGATAGGAAAACCCCGACTCCATTAGTGGCGAGCATAGTGCACTGACACTATCCGATACCCTCTCCAACCGAGGCTGTAACCAGAAGAAAACAATAAGCAGAAAACCATTACAACTGAAGCTGTGAAAAGGTAAACATTTGCACATATGAATATAGCAAAATCAAAGGGCGTGAGTTACACGATAAACAAGCCAAATCCGAGAGGGGACAGATGAGAATGTTGTTAATTGCTGAGAATTAGCAAACATTGAAGCTGAGTAATGTGTTCGAATGTATTTTAAACTGCGCATTTTGCTGGAAAGAGTAACTGGTCTACTAGAAGTAAACGATTCCAGAGATTCGAGAAACCTTTTTGAAACGGAGAGCCATAAGAAGATTCTTTTGGTGATTCCGGGAGCGCCGAATCTGAGTTCATCATAGTGCCAAAATAAAACACAAATAATTTACAAACACTGCTGACATCACCCTAAACAAGTTCGAAAAAAGCTTGATATTTACGTATGCATGCGCCTCGTTTGTGTGTCAAATGATGGGAAAAAACATTGTGGCAGCTTTTATACCAATTCAAAAAGAGAGAACGGCGTCGTCGAGTTCCTCGACTATCAGTTACCCGTTACTCATACAAGAAATTATATTACATTTTTTTAAATTGTAAGCATAAAATTTGTTGTGGTATCGCAATCTCTGCAATCTCGGCGACTCTGGAATCTGAATTTTTTTGTTAATCTTTTAGCTCTTTAGTTCCCATTAAATGCCGGATAGACACGGCCAGATCGACTCTGCTAATGATCGTGACCAAGATCTTTTCATCGAATCTAGTACACCCGTTTATTCTACGAGTAATGGGTACAAAAACACCAAACTCAAACACGCAGCACAGATTCGCACTCACTCACGTTTACTTTGAGTGGAAGCTCGACTTCGAGTGAGTGGAATATTGAATGAAAACATTGAAAGTGGACTGGACGGTTTGGACGCCAAAATAAATCTTACAAACGCTCGCCAACTACCGTGCAGTCAAGGTTTGTTTAAGTAATTGTCCAAAAAATAGTTTCAGAGTGTGAAAATGGTGTCGAGTGTAAAAATGATCTTGGCTCTCACCGTCTTGGCCACCGCAGCCTGCACTGGTATGAAAGTTAAAGGAATTACCAATCCGATGTAATGTACATAGTCTACAATTCCTAGGGTACGCCATTAAGTGCTATCAGTGCGATTCCTTGACTTATTCCGCGTGTGGAAAGGACTTTCAGCCAGATAGTAAGCTCGTTTTGGATTGCACCAAGATGGCTCCCCCTCGATTCCTCCAGAGCTTCTTCCCAGTTCGAAACGCCACCGGTTGCATGAAGCAGACCATCGACAGTAAGTAATCTGATGGGGATCGCCCATAACCATGATCTCATCGAATCGATGGCCCACGCGAAACCATCCCCACTAAAGAAATTTAGGTTGGGGAATTAACTGGGGCTAATGCTCGCAATGAGAATAATTGAGTTTTCAGTTGTACCTTAGAATATGATTCATTTCTTAAGCAACAAATAAAAACAAATACATTCCAAAATATCATAGATATACATATAATACAATACAATACCAAATATCTTTGGGTATCATAATATTTAATTTACAAAAATAAACTTTGACGAATATGATATGATAATGAATATGACAGAGAGAGTATGAACGAATAGCATTGAAATATATTTAGAACGGTTCAAGATCAGCGACTTGCTATTGCAATTTAATATATATTTTTTGTTGACTATGGAGGAAACCACCTATGATGAATGTTGAATACTCTTAAATGTATGGAGAAGGTACAGATAAGGTAGACGGTAGTCACCAATGCAATGCTTCGGAGATTAGTCGCTGTCCCACAGCAATATGTGCCCTTCATTAAAAATTCATCATGAACACTGGACATTAACACAGCAGTCAGTAGCTTTATAAGTGATTTGTTCACAATTTGCTTGATTGCCCAGCGATTTCCAAGCATAAATACTCTCTAGGGCTGTATGGTTTTGTGGATAATTGGACCCAGTTGCCTCTTACCGCAACATCGCCTCAGTCAATTGCTTGCTAATTACATTAACATTCGACCACGTCTTAAGTTTTATTGAATACACCGTCAGCTTTAATTGAACGCCAGACAATTGGCATCACACTCAGCTCACAAGTTGGTCACATCTACTCGTACACGAGTATCTATAAATTCTTGATTCGCATGTGAAATAATTATTATTTATTTTCTATAACTATAACGTGTAATTTTTGTATTCAATTTTCCTTCCGGTTGTAGAAACCTCAAGGACTGACCAAAAAAATATTATTTATTTAAAGGGTGTGTTTGAAGTACGAATATGCTTCATAGCTTGAAAAATCTGAATACAATAGAAGCGAATGGCAGAGAGAGTCTGAAAATGAGAACTTTGGAATAGTCACCACTATTTTTATTTCCGAACACACCAGTATGCACAGCACACTTTAATGTCGTAATTTCTGATGGTATTTTATTTCCGAATATATGATTTGATCTCATAATACATCGAAAATAACAACAATCGCGTTAATAATTTTGTTAATACTAATACTTAATACTTGTTTCTCCTTTGTAATACTATTTATCATATCATTTGCAGTTCCGGGTAACCCCCAGATCGTGAGGTCCTGCTACTTTGGCAACATCGCCGACACGAAGCTTGGCTGCCAGACGGATCCCAGCCTGCCGATTAACAGGTTGCTGAGCTGCGATGTTTGCACCGAGGACGAGTGCAACGGATCCTCCTCCCTGGCCCCCATCGCCGGAGTCATCCTCCTCTTCTTTGGCTTGGCCCGTCTGCTGGCCTGAACTAGGAGCCAGTTTTAGTACCGCTGAGCTACCGCAACCATATCGAGTTCGCCTATGGGAAGCCCCAAGGAGCCGCCTTAGTCACCTTTGTTGTTACACCCTTTTAAACAGTTTTTGCCCACATTAAACGTCACTCTATTTATGTGTAGATATTGTATGGTTATTGGAAGATTAATTGCTAGTTTTAACTGATAGGCTCCCGTTGGGGAAGCAGAAAATCCATGCGTGCCACGGCACACTTCAGGAATTGGCCCCATTCAATCTACGTCTCTTGCGAGTATGCCTTTGGAAATTGCTCGGCTGACGATTTTAGAACTGAAAAGTTCTCTCTGTGATTTTCTCGCTTTGACCATACACTCCCAGTTTTCCACCGCCTCCGCCCACAGGCTCGCTCGTCAACTCTCCACTCAGTTGAGGAAAACACTAAACACAAAATGTTCATTAAATTTAGACAAATTAAAACGCAGAGCGATGACGCCAGGCGAAATGGCCATAAGGTGTTTTCACCACACAAAAAAGAGAAAGACGGCAAGGAGTTGAATTTGGAAAATGCTTTTGGCATTCTTTTAGTTCGATTTCGTGTGCGGACGTCGACTGACAGACGGCACCAAGAATTTAGCCGGGAACTCGGGGAAAATCTAGAAACAATCGAGAAATCAGGAAAATTTGACTACGCGTGTTTACATTTTATGTTCCTACGGGCCTAAGACCTAATAAATATAAAAAGACTCTTTTATATGGTTGAAAATATTAAAAATGTGTATTATAACATAGTCGTCAGCGGATGTATGTTTCGTAAGTTCAAACGTCGTGCGGATCGTTTCAATTGCGCGGAGCAGAGCTATAAATAAGCCAGCCGCCACTTGAATTATTTTCCATAAAACCAACAAATAAAACCAATTCCAATCACCAACGAGAAAGGTTGCAACCCGATTTGCTCCCCATCAACAATGCAGCATTATTTACTTTTGTTTGGCGCGCTCATCTCGCCGCTGGCCTCAGGTTTGTTTTGTTCTTTTTGGATTTGGTCTTGTAAAATTTGTACTTTGTTTTGTGAGATCTCATATCTGCCATAAATAAGACGCATCTCCCAATGCCACTAGCTTACGCCATCAAGTGCTACGCCTGCGAATCCGTCTACGAGGCAAGTTGCGGCGACGACTTCGAAGTCGAGAACCATTTCAAATTCGACTGCGCCTTTATTGCTCCACCGCGGTTTCTGGAGAACGATCTGCTCAGCGTGAATGCCACGGCCTGTTTGAAACGGGTGTTCAAGGGTGAGTTTAATCGAATCCTGATCAAATAGTAACTTTAATTGTTATGAACCAATTGACGTGCCACCACATGAAATGTAGCTTTGCACGCATGTTGAATGTTCGATGCATAATCAGCATTTGTTGGCTCACCTGTGTGGCAGCTAAAAATGATGTATGTCTCCCTAATCTCAGGATGTCTCATAGAAGTTTACACGAAAATATTCTGAATTTAACATTAAAACATTGAAAGCTGGAGACCTTTTGCCATTTGATACCCAGTTCAAGAAATGCACTCCGATAACCAATGGTCAAAAAACTGTGTTTCTAAAGTCTGTGTAACAACTAAACATTCGAAATGTTTTCGTCTGAGATTTGTATTTACCTTTCAGATAATAATGTCTTAAATTATTTTTGACGCAGATAAAAACAAATAAAATTGAAAAAGTCATACATTATATACGTGCTTATACAGACAGCTGTGACCTTATTTTAAAAAATTTCTTAGACTATCCAACGATCCCTTGATATTTTGGATAAAAGCCCATTAAGACGGACAATGAAAAATATTTTTAATTCATCGTAAATAAAAGCCCGAAAGTAGACTAACTCAATGTTTTGCTTCTGCAGAAAATGGCGTACGTAAGATCGTCAGAGGCTGCTACTTTGGCGAGGTAAATGCCACCGATGTGTGGTGCAAAATGGACCCCACCCTCACGGCGGTGCAGAATTCAAGTTGTCATGTGTGCGACAGCGAGAACTACTGCAATGGATCGGAAAGGCGTCCAGTGGATAAATGGGAGATTATCGCCAGTCTGGTCTTGTTTCTCTTGGCACCTCAACTACTCTGAGGCGACAGAAGACGAAGTGGAAGTGGAAATGGAAATGGAAATGTGGAGCATGAAATGAACAGTAAAAGGCACAGTAGCTTAAGTAAACCTAGTTCAATTTAGATGTAGTCCCCAGGCCCAGAACTATCAATTAGTGGAGGTGGAGCCCACATTAGTAGAGCACACCATCCACAAAACCATTTAGCCAAATCTGCACACACAAATTAATGGCAACCTCAGCACACATGAGCCGAAAGGCTGGCCAACAATCCAAATACAAAGTAATACAATTTTTTTTTTTTTTTTTTTTTTTAATGCTTACGGCATACGGGGAAATCTAGGAACCCCTTTGTGACCTTTTCCTCTATTAATTCAGCCCTTTTGGGCGAGCCGGCTAACTATGGTATAGTTAGCTTTATCAAATTTAACAAAACTTTAACAATTACATAGCAATCACAGATAACAAATAAAATGTATGATAAGCGTCAGCTTCTGCAGACCCTTGACAAAGGAGATCGGGAAATGAGATCCCTCGGTTGCCTTCTATTGAGCCTCCTTGGTGGGCGAGATCTGTTTAGAGCGCTGGCAAGCCGATTTCTTTGGCTCCAGCCTGTCATGGTATCGACTCCAGTGCTGTTTTATCTGGATTGTCGGTGGCGTTCTCCGCTTTAGAGTATAGCAGACGTTGGTGGATTTGGCTCGACGACCCGATGGAACTGCTCGACAGTACAGTGGCCAGCACGAAAACCGAACTGGTGCATCCTTACAATCAGTCTCTCAAACACCTTCGAAATTAAAGGGAGAAGACTGATCGGCCGGTAGGAGGCGGGACCATTTGAAGACCAACGAACCCACCGCTGCTGGTCCCGTAAACTTATCCCCTACCCTTAGCGTTGGAAAGCCATCAGGGTCTATGGCTTCACATTACATACTGCCAACCATTCGGATGACAGCCAACACGGAGGTGCGGCGATCCTTGTTAGATCAAGTATCTCTCATCAACCATTCGCCACTCTATCGCAAAATCATATCCAGGCAGTAGTTATTCAGCTGACTGCAAGCAGAGGAAACTTCAATGTCGCCCCAGTATACTGCCCTCCGACTCTTAGATGGACAGACGGTATTGTTGGGCAGTTCATCACACAATTTGGCACAAAGGTCCTTGCAGGTGAGTGGAACGCAAAACTCAGATAGTGGGGAAACTACAGGATGTGTACCAGAGGTAGCGTGCTGTATTCTGCACTTGCGGAAGAACGAGTCGACATCGTTACAACTGGAGAAGCTACTTCGATTTTGGAATCTGCAAAGGCTTTAGACAGCAACAAATTAGGGTGAAAGTGCTGACAGAGCTGTCATCTGACCATCTGCCTTTGCTCTTTGAGCTAGATTAAGACACCCAATCATTTAGAAGTGTTTCAAAAATGCTGTCTCCGCAAGCAAACATTCGGATCTTTAAAGAACACATCGAGGCCACTGACACTTGCAGTAGGGTAGAAGCGTATGTCGACTACTTCACATCTACGATCATTGAAGTGGCCTTAACCCCTCACCTAGTTGGTCTCACGGCCATAAGAAGTCTCACATTTTAAGCTTGGAGGCTAGGTACCACAAAATACGCCTCAGAAGACAATACATCGCGACAGGAGATAATAGCATTTACCAGCAATATTCGAGTACTACTAATCGACTGCGCCGTCTGCTAGCCAATAACCGTAGAGCAAACCTGGATACCTTATTGGAGACTGCTGGTCTGGATAGTAATAGTGGAACTCTCGAGAGGCATCAGTCTTTGTTTCAGTCACCAGTTCAGGATCGAGAAGGTCTCTGGCTTAAGACGGGTGATGAGAAAGCAAGTGCTTTTGCTTCGCACCTGTCTTCCACCTTCATGCCCTTCAATTTAACGGACGACACCAATCGTGAAGCCATCGCAAATTTTTTGGATACTCCGACTGCTTCGACACGCCCCATGAGACATACCTCACCGCAGGAAGTAATTATGCAACTAAAGGCATTGCAACCAAAAAAACCGCTGGTTACGAAGGCATAGACAACCGAACTGCGAAATTTATACCACGCAAAGGAGTGCTTTCTCTTGTGAAAATGCTTAATGCTATGCTAGGATTAGGTAATTTCCTCAGGCAAATCCCCAGGCGCATTGTAATGATCCCCAAAGCTGGAGAATCACCAACACAGATTGACTCATACCGCCCGATAAGCCTTTCTCGTAAGTTTTTGAGGGAATTTTGCTTACCCGCTTCAAATTCGGCTTCAGGAAGTAGATCTCCTCCCAGCAGCCCGATATGCCATCCTCAGCTCCTTTATCGCTGATCGGACCTTCGATGTTGCAGTACGAGACTCTCGGTCTAGCCTGGAACACATTCATGCAGGGGTTCCACAGGGAAGTGTGCTTGGACCCTTCCTGTATACCCTGTACACTGCTGACATGCCAACAACAGCGATGAAGCCTCCCCTGCTCCTGGCCACTTACACTGTTGACACCGCCATGCTTGCGTCGCACTCATCCGTGCAAATCGTACGTCCACGATATGCTGACGACACAGCCATGGTCACGTCCCACTTGTCCATGCAAGTTGCCTCCATTGCAGTCCAAAATTGGCTGCATGAAATGGAGAGTTGGGTTGCCAGGTGTATCCCACCATTAACTGCACCAAGTCTACCTGCGTGACCCAGTACCTGCCCTGGACTTTCCTACAATGGTGGGCCCATTAGAACCGCCAACTCCCACTGCTACTTGGGTGAACACCTAGATCGCAGGATCACCTGGAGAGGCCATATCACGGCAGTTAAGATGAAGTGTCTGCGCAAGCTTCAAAAGCTCGACTGGCTTCTGCGATCAACCAGGCTTCAGCTCTCAACTTAAGTCCGGTTGATCAAAGCCATTATAAACCCTACCTGGACCTACGCCATCCAAGTTTGAGGAACCGCCTCCAAAAATCAGCTTGACAGACTGAGGGTTGTACAGGCACGTGCTGCTCGACGTGCATCGGGACTCCCGTGGTACATCTGGTGATGTACCCCGATGTACTCCGCTATCCTAAGGGATCTCCGGATAACTTTGGTTCGTGACGAGACCAATCACCACAGCAGCCGATTTGGGTGCGCAAACATATTGGCAAGCAGTCTCGCCGATCCTATTCCCCTCCGACGGCTGAAGAGAATCCACCCGAACGAGCTACCTACCCGTGTTATATAACCTTGTAAATAGTACTTGTAAATACTTGTAAGTAATTGTTAAATGTTAAATTATTAAATAGTCGAATAAGGTCCTTTGTACCATGTACATGTTTCTTATCTTCCTCGTCCAGTTATGTTCAGAAGGCACTAAACAATTCGGACGCAAAAAAAAAAAAAAAAAAAAAAAAAAAAACAAGAGACAGCGGGGCCCCACATTGTATAAATAAATGCACACTCTTTGAATGGAAGTGGTTGAGTTCCACTATAATATCACTGATATCAGGGATATCACTGATATCAATAGCAGGGCAGGGCATGGAACTATGTCAAAACGCTTTGGCCAGGGAAATGCGAGCGATGAAGAAGTGAAAATCTGTTATGAGAATCAAATTGACATTCTGAATGCGACTGTTCGCACGTTCAGTTCAGTTTCTGTTTAGTTCAGTCGCGTGTGTGCATCGCTTCGAGTCGGTGGTCGTTGGTCGGCGATTTGTGGCTATATAGCGTATTTATCATGTGATTAAAATCGGTCCGGCATCCGAGAAGACAACATCTGTATTCGAGCACTGTGAGGAGTCTTAAAACTGAGCTGCCTAGCAACAGCGAAGAAGGCTGGAATGCAGGAGGAGTCAAGGGCAGCCAGGTCAAACGGGAAATGATGGTCCTTGGACCCGAGCAAAGCGGAGAGACCGGGAACTAACGGTACCGTTGGTCGGCAAAGGTGGCTCAGGGAAGAGCGTCACCTTGACCTAACGGGCGATACTCTTCCCCACCATAACATCCTAAGCCGCATTCCAGCCGGCACGGGTAAGCGATCGAGAACAAGGGAAGGACGACGAAGGAGCGATGCCGCTCAGCCGACGGCGAGGACTGCAGGAGTCTATCGTTGAAGAAGTCTGTCAATAAAGCTGTTCCAACCTAAAACCCCTGTATTCTCTTTAGTCGGGCAATCACCCAAGCTATAAATTTTGTGGGACGAACATACAAACTCTCTTAGCTAGCCGTTGCAATTCGTAGAGAGCGGAACCAAGACAAACAGTTCGTTACAGGACGTATCCGCATCGCAATAACTATAGCTATTGCAACGTCCCTCTGTCCGTCCGTCTGTCCGTATGAACGCCTCGATCTCAGGAACTACAAAAGCTAGAGTGTTGAGATAAGGCATGCAGCTTCCAGAGACATAGACGTAGAATTTTTTCCATTTTTGATTACATCTTGTAAATTTCTATAGATTTGCCAAAAATCTTTGAAACCAGAAAATTTTGAAATTAGTATCTAGCACTTCCACAGAGTACCTTGTATCTGATAGTCGGAGAACTCGACTATATCATTCTATCTTGTTTTAAATTGTAATTGTAAATTAATTTAAATTTAAATTAATTGTAAGACAGACATGCCCAGATCGACTCTGCTAATGATCGTGACCAAGATCTTTTCAACGAATCTAGTACACCCGTTTATTCTACGAGAAATGGCTACAAAAACACAAAACTCAAACACGCAGCACAGATTCGCACTCACTCACGTTTACTTTGAGTGGAAACTCGACTTCGAGTGAGTGGAATATTGAATGAAAAAATTTAAAGTGGTCTGGACGGTTTGGACGCCAGAATAAATCTTTCAAACGATCGCCAACTGCCGTGCAGTCAAGGTTTGTTTAAGTAATTGTCCAAAAAATAGTTTCAGAGTGTGAAAATGGTGTCGAGTGTAAAAATGATCTTGGCTCTCACCGTCTTGGCCACCGCAGCCTGCACTGGTATGAAAGTTAAAGGAATTACCATTCGAATTAATGTACATAGTCTACAATTCCTAGGGTACGCCATTAAGTGCTATGAGTGCGAATCCGAGATTGATTCCAAGTGTGGAAAGGACTTTAAGCCAGATAGTAGTTTCATTACGGATTGCTCGCAGATAGAGCCATCTACCACTTTCTCCATTTTAAGCATCGTAGGCCCAGATTCAAAGCCAGTTGCCAGCGGTTGCATGAAGCGGACCCTTGAGAGTAAGTAATCTGATGGGGATCGCCCATAACCAAATTTAATCTTATCGATGCCCACGCGAAACCATTCCCTCTTAAGAAATTTATGTTGAGTTTTCACTTGTACTTTAGAATATGATTCATTTCTAAAGCAGCAAAATATCAAATATCAAAGATTACAAAATAACTTTGATGAATAATGAATATGAATAATACATATGTTGACTATGGAAAAACCACGCATGATGAGGTAGGCGGTAGTCACCATCAGCGACATATTCCTCTTATAATATATGTACATCCTGATTCATTACTCTATGCTACAGCTACTTTGTAGTACTATTTATCCTATTATTTGCAGTTCCCGATATCCCACATATTATCAAGAGGTCCTGCTACTTTGGCAACATCTCCGACACGATGGATGGCTGTCAGTGGGATCCCAATGATAAGCTCAGCAAGTTTATGAACTGCGCGATTTGCACCGAGGACAAGTGCAACGGATCCTCTTCCCTGGCCCCCATCGCCGGAGTCATCCTCTTCTTTGGCTTGGCCCGTCTGCTGGCCTGAACTAGGAGCCAGTTTTAGAACCGCTGAGCTATCGCAGCCATATCGAGTTCGCCTGTGGGAAATCCTTTGAATCTCTTGTAATTGTTACACCCTTTTAAACTCTTTTGCCCACATTAAACGCACTCTATTTATGTGTAGATATTGTACGGTTATTGGGAGATAATTGCTAGTTTTAGCTGATAGGCTCCCGTTGGGGAAGCAGAAAATCCATGCGTGCCTGGGCACACTTCAGGAATTGGCCCCATTCAATCTACAAGTCTCCACTCAGTTGAGGAAAACACTAACACAAAATGTTCATTAAATTTAGACAAATTAAAACGCTGAGCGATGACGCCAGGCGAAATGGCCATAAGGTGTTTTCACCACACAAGAGAGCGTTAAACAAAAAAGAGAAAGACAGCAAGGAGTTGAATTTGGAAAATGCTTTTGGCATTCTTTTCGGGGAAAATCTAGAAACAATCGAGAAATCAAGAAAATTTGGCTACGCGTGTTTACATTTTATGTTCCTACGGGCCTAAGACCTAATAAATATAAAAAAGACTTATATATGGTTGAAAATATAAAAAATGTATATTATGTTATAGTGTCAGCGAATGTATGTATGGTAACTTATGTAGTTACCGCTTTATTTAATTAAGAGATACAATGGAAAGTTAATTTGATGCGGTAAGTCGAAGTCGAGAGTGGCCAGTCTGACGATATCAGAAGATATCGTCCTCCAGGAAAGGTCTTGGCGTTAGTACTTGTTTACGCCGTGTTGCCAGACTGGGCTTTAGTCTGGGCGCCACATCTACTCCCCCTCCAGTGACTTCGCCAGGTGGTGAAGGTAACGGTATAAATTCTGGAGCTGCAGGTGCAGGGCTCGGTGGCGTAGGTGGCTGCGAAATCTGTTGGTCGTGGTAGTCTTCGCAAGAGTCAGCTTCACCTAAGAAGGCAGGCTTGAGGAGGTCGACTGATATGGCCTTCTCTTGTCCATGAATGCTGATGATGTAGAACTTTCCGTCAACCCGGCGTATTACCCGATGAGGTCCCGTGTAAGGCAGCTCGAGTGGCTTTTTAATAGAAGCCACTTGCTTGAAGACGTGTGTACAAGTTATCAGGTCCTTACAAATGAAAACAGGTGGTTTAGCGTGATGCGCTGCAGGAGTATATGTTGACGTAGTTGCTCGATGAGTCGGTGATTCTTGCTGAAGGCGGTTTGAGTGTGCGACTAAAAAAGTTCGTTGGGGATACGAAAGTGGTGCCAAAAAGCATTTCGGCTGGGGGTGACTGGAGGTCCGCCTTAAACGCCGAGCGCAGCCCCAAAAGAACTGTAGGCAGGAGATCCGGCCATGCTATGTGAGACTTACACATCAGGGCGGCTTTGAGGGTACGGTGCCATCTCTCCAGGATGCCGTTTGACTGAGGGTGATATGCGGTTAGCCAGCTCAGCAATCAATGAGGATTCGAATTGAGTTCCCTGGTCCGTTGTTATAGTGAGTGGGCAGCCAAACATGCAGATCCACTGTGTATACAGAGCTCTCGCGACAGTCTCAGCTGCACGTCATCTGCTGAAGTTACGGATAGTGGGAAGCTCAATCAGATCGACGTGAATGTGCTCGAAACGATTGTCAGGAACATCGATCTTCTCCACCGGGTTGCGTGTGTGGCGATGGATTTTGGTGCGCTGGCAAGGAGCACACTGTCGGGACCAGAGGGTGACATCACGGTTAATTCCTGGCCAGACAAACCGCTGCTTAAGTAACTTTGCAGTTGTACGGCCGCTGGGATGCGCCAATCCATGTACTGAATCAAAAGCTTGGCGTCTCAGACTTTTGGGACTTGTAGAACAAGGGATGTGGTTCGAGGAAGCTCAGCCATTTCATCGTCGGGTTGTTGGCCCTCAAATATCGCTTGAGCACTGAAGCTAGACGGCATGCTTCTGGTGTTGATGCGTGAGAGGGCGTCTGCCACTGCGGATTGTACACTATCTCCGTTGAGAATTGGTAGATAAAATCCAATTGGCGGAGTTGTCGAGGCGATGCTTTGCTTGCTTTCTGCCTGATAGCGTATTGTAGTGGTTTATGGTCGGTTTGGATGATGAATGGAGGACCCTCTCGAATGTGCTTGAAATGGATGATACCAGCGAAAATAGCCAGGAGCTCGCGATCTTACGTGCTGCAGCCTTGCTCTGCCGGATATAGTTTCCGCGAGAAAAACCCGATGGGACGCCAAACGTTGCCGACTAGTTGTTCGAGAGCAACACGATCGCTGTATCGGAGGCGTCCGTTTTAAGGGCGAGGTGATCCCTTAGAGCACACGGTACGTAAAATTCCTTGCTTGCAGGCCTGGAATGCATTCTCCCCAGGGCCGGTCCAGGCTATTTCGCGCTTGTCATTTTTGGTTGCGCCTTTTAGGTAGTCTGTGAGCGGGATTTGAGCCTGAGCTGCGTGTGGTATGAGGTGTCGGTAATTGACCATTCCCAAAAACCGGCGCAATTCCATGATAGTTTGAGGCTTGGGAAAATTGTTGATTGCTTGCGTGGGCTCAACAGGGGGCTTGAATCCGCTCGCGTTGACTTGGAACCCTAGGAAAATTACTTCACTTTTACCAAATTGGCACTTTTGAGGGTGCCTCATGCGTTGTGGAGAACACGGTGATGTCGTCCATATAGCATCCTAAGAATGGAATGCCACGAAGCAGGTTGTCCATGTGGCGCTGGAAGGTTTGCGCTGCATTGCGCAGTCCGGGTGGCTTGCCGACGAACTCGAAAAGGCCGAACGGTGTAGTGACAGCTGTTTTTGGAATATCATCTGGCACGAGTGGGATCTGGTGGTAGGCACGCACAAAATCGATTGTGGAGAAAACCGAGCATCCATGCAGACGTTGAAGAGGGACTGCTGGCTGCTGGAGGGACGAATCACTCCTTGCTGGAGTAAGAGATCGAAATCCCGGCGTGCCGCTTTTAATTTTTCGCCTGTAAGCCGTCTTGGCTTGTCGAAAACAGGTGGGCCGTTGTTTAAATGTAATGCGCAACCTCATTATGAATGCGGGTTGCTCATTAGGCTCATTAGGACGTGTGATCTGCACAAAGCGACTAAGAAGATTCGAGTACGGGCGATCTATTCCACTGGAACTTTGCACGCTGATTGTAGACGTTGTAGAGTTTTGCTTCTGCAACTTCTCATTTGGTCGAAACAGCTTTTGAGGGATCCATAAGGCGTTTACCCTTGAGGTCGAGGTTGAGGCCGTGGTGCGTAGGAAAGCTGCTCCGATGATTGCTGATTGGACGTTCGCAACGACGAACGACCAGGTGAACTTACGCCGTAGGTTGAGAACAAAAGTTAGATTTAGCGTGCCGTAGGTATCAATTATAGACTTGTTGGCCGCGTAGAGTTTGAAGTCGTCTTTGCGACGATGCATTCCCTTGATTATCGAAACAGGTATGAGTGAGATGACTGATCCGGAATCGATAAGGAATTTTACGTTGGTATTACGATCGATTATGTGAAGTCGGTGCTCCTTTGTTGGAGAGTGCTTGGAGATCTGCTGTCACCAGTCGCCTGAACAGATGACAGCTTCTTTAGTTTCCCTGCTGTGGCTCCCAGGCACAGAGCGAGGAGCATTTTCGTGCATCAGGTCTGAATTTGGCATGATAAAAGCAGACCCGTGGTGCTCGGAGTTGCTGCTCGTTGCGATCGGCTGGGCGAGAATGGCTGGGAGGCAGCATGTCCTGCAGAAGAGTTAAAGAGGCATTAATGGCAGCGATGTCGCGTTTCAAGGAGCTGCGAGGGCTTCTTGTCCCCAAGGGCAAGCTCCAGTAAAGCGCGCTGCAACTGTCTGTCCGGTGATTCCGTAAATCGCTTGATGATAATCTCCTTCAGGTGCTCGTATTTGTTGACTTCCGAGGGTTGCGCCAGAACATCAGATACTTCAGTCATTATATCAGCATCCAAAGCACTTAAATGGTAGTAGCGGGTATTATCGGAAGAAGTGCGGCTGCATTGATATTGCGCTTCGATCTGCACAAACCATAACCGCGCAATTTGCTTCTAAAATGGCGGCAGCTTGATGGCGCCAACCGACTCGACAACAGGGATAACGGTGCCTGCGCTGTTTCCGCGTTGAATTTCACCAGAGTCAGGCGAAGTTGGCGGTGCAGGCGCAGAATCTCCGGTATTCAGCATTTTGTTTATTGCGGGGTCACCAATATGGTAACTTATGTAGTTACCGCTTTATTTAATTAAGAGATACAATGGAAAGTTAATTTGATGCCGTAAGCTTGTTGCGCGGCAAGGCTGAAGTCGAGAGTGGCCAGTCTGACGATATCAGAAGATATCGTCCTCCAGGAAAGGTCTTGGCGTTAGTACTTGTTTACGCCGTGTTGCCAGACTGGGCTTTAGTCTGGGCCAACATATGTTTCGTAAGCTCAAACGTCGTGCGGATCGTTTCAATTGCGCGGAGCAGAGCTATGAATAAGCCCGCCACTTGAATTATTTTCCATAAACCATCAAAAAAACCAATTCCAATCACCAACGAGAAAGGTTGCAACCCGATTTGCTCCCCACAACAATGCAGCATTATTTACTTTTGTTTGGCGCGCTCATCTCGCTGCTGGCCTCAGGCTTGTTTTTGTTCTTTTTGGATTTGGATATTCGAGAACTACTAATCGACTGCGCCGTCTGCTAGCCAATAACCGTAGAGCAAACCTGGATACCTTATTGGAGAGTGCTTAGTTCAGTCGCGTGTGTGCATCGCTTCGAGTCGGTGGTTGGCGGTTTGTGGCTATATAGCGTATTTATCATGTGATTAAAATCGGTCCGGCATCCGAGAAGACAACATCTGTATTCGAGCACTGTGAGGAGTCTTAAAACTGAGCTGCCTAGCAACAGCGAAGAAGGCTGGAATGCAGGAGGAGTCAAGGGCAGCCAGGTCAAACGGGAAATGATGGTCCTTGGACCCGAGCAAAGCGGAGAGACCGGGAACTAACGGTACCGTTGGTCGGCAAAGGTGGCTCGGGGAAGAGCGTCACCTTGACCTAACGGGCGATACTCTTCCCCACCATAACATCCTAAGCCGCATTCCAGCCGGCACGGGTAAGCGATCGAGAACAAGGGAAGGACGACGAAGGAGCGACGCCGCTCAGCCGACGGCGAGGACTGCAGGAGTCTATCGTTGAAGAAGTCTGTCAATAAAGCTGTTCCAACCTAAAACCCTGTCTTCTCTTTGGTCGGGCAATCACCCAAGCTATAAATTTTGTGGGACGAACAAACAAACTCTCTTAGCTAGCCGTTGCAATTCGTAGAGAGCGGAACCAAGAAAAACAGTTCGTTACAGGACGTATCCGCATCGCAATAGCTATAGCTATTGCTACGTCCCTCTGTCGGTCCGTATGAACGCCTCTATCTCAGGAACTACAAAAGCTAGAGTGTTGAGATAAGGCATGCAGCTTCCAGAGACATAGACGTAGAATTTTGAAAAACGTTGTTATATTTTTCCATTTTTGAATACATCTTGTAAATTTCTATAGATTTGCCAAAAAACTTTGAAACCAGAAAATTGTGAAATTAGTATCTAGCACTTCCACAGAGTACCTTGTATCTGATAGTCGGGGAACTCGACTATATCATTCTTGTTTTAAATTGTAATTGTAAATTAATTTAAATTTAAAATAATTGTAAGACAGACATGCCCAGATCGACTCTGCTAATGATCGTGACCAAGATCTTTTCAACGAATCTAGTACACCCGTTTATTCTACGAGAAATGGCTACAAAAACACAAAACTCAAACACGCAGCACAGATTCGCACTCACTCACGTTTACTTTGAGTGGAAACTCGACTTCGAGTGAGTGGAATATTGAATGAAAAAATTTAAAGTGGACTGGACGGTTTGGACGCCAGAATAAATCTTTCAAACGATCGCCAACTGCCGTGCAGTCAAGCTTTGCTTTAAGTAATTGTCCAAAAAATAGTTTCAGAGTGTGAAAATGGTGTCGAGTGTAAAAATGATCTTGGCTCTCACCGTCTTGGCCACCGCAGCCTGCACTGGTATGAAAGTTAAAGGAATTACCATTCGAATTAATGTACATAGTCTACAATTCCTAGGGTACGCCATTAGGTGCTATGAGTGCGATTCCGTTATTGATTCCAAGTGTGGAAAGGACTTTAAGCCAGATAGTGTGCTCATTTCGGATTGCTCCCCGATACAGCCATCTACCACTTCCTCCATTCTAAAGTTCAAAAGGTCAGATCCAAAGCCAGTTATACACGCCACCGGTTGCATGAAGCGGACCCTTGAGAGTAAGTAATCTGATGGGGATCGGCCATAACCAAATTTTATCATATCGATGCCCACGCGAAACCATTCCCTCTTAAGAAATTTATGTTGAGTTTTCACTTGTACTTTAGAATATGATTCATTTCTAAAGCAGCAAAATATCAAATATCAAAGATTACAAAATAACTTTGATGAATAATGAATATGAATAATACATATGTTGACTATGGAAAAACCACGCATGATGAATGTGGCATACTCTTAAATGTATGGAGAAGGTACAGATAATAATAACACCATCAGCGACATATTCCTCTTATAATATATGTACATCCTGATTCATTACTCTATAATGATAAAGTCCGAGATTAGTCGCTAAAAATGCATCATGAACAATAGACATTAACACAGCAGTCAGTACATTTATAAGTGATTTGTTCACAATTTGCTTGATTGCCCATTGTAGCTTGTTATGCTACAGCTACTTTGTAATACTATTTATCCTATTATTTGCAGAACCGGGTAACCCTCATATCGTGAGGTCCTGCTACTTTGGCAATATCTCCAACACGAAGGTTGGCTGTCAGTATAATCCCAATAATAAGCTCAGCAAGTTTATGAACTGCGCGATTTGCACCGAGGACAAGTGCAACGGATCCTCTTCCCTGGCCCCCATCGCCGGAGTCATCCTCTTCTTTGGCTTGGCCCGTCTGCTGGCCTGAACTAGGAGCCAGTTTTAGTACCGCTGAGCTATCGCAGCCATATCGAGTTCGCCTGTGGGAAATCCTTTGAATCTCTTGTAATTGTTACACCCTTTTAAACTCTTTTGCCCACATTAAACGCACTCTATTTATGTGTAGATATTGTACGGTTATTGGGAGATAATTGCTAGTTTTAACTGATAGGCTCCCGTTGGGGAAGCAGAAAATCCATGCGTGCCTGGGCACACTTCTGGAATTGGCCCCATTCAATCTACAAGTCTCCACTCAGTTGAGGAAAACACTAACACAAAATGTTCATTAAATTTAGACAAATTAAAACGCTGAGCGATGACGCCAGGCGAAATGGCCATAAGGTGTTTTCACCACACAAGAAAGAGAGCGTTAAACAAAAAAGAGAAAGACAGCAAGGAGTTGAATTTGGAAAATGCTTTTGGCATTCTTTTAGTTCGATTTCGTGTGCGGACGTCGACTGACAGACGGCACCAAGAATTTAGCCGGGAACTCGGGGAAAATCTAGAAACAATCGAGAAGTCAGGAAAATTTAAACGCGTGTTTACATTTTACGTTCCTACCATCAAATAAAACCAATTCCAATCACCAACGAGAAAGGTTGCAACCCGATTTGCTCCCCATCAACAATGCAGCATTATTTACTTTTGTTTGGCGCGCTCATCTCGCCGCTGGCCTCAGGTTTGTTTTGTTCTTTTTGGATTTGGTCTTGTAAAATTTGTACTTTGTTTTGTGAGATCTCATATCTGCCATACATAAGACGCATCTCCCAATGCCACTAGCTTACGCCATCAAGTGCTACGCCTGCGAATCCGTCTACGAGGCAAGTTGCGGCGACGACTTCGAAGTCGAGAACCATTTCAAATTCGACTGCGCCTTTATTGCTCCACCGCGGTTTCTGGAGAACGATCTGCTCAGCGTGAATGCCACGGCCTGTTTGAAACGGGTGTTCAAGGGTGAGTTTAATCGAATCCTGATCAAATAGTAACTTTACTTGTTATGAACCAATTGACGTGCCACCACATGAAATGTAGCTTTGCACGCATGAAATGTTCGATGCATAATCAACATTTGTTGGCTCACCTGTGTGGCAGCTAAAAATGATATATGTCTCCCTAATCTCAGGATGTCTCATATAAGTTTACACGAAAATATTCTGAATTTAACATTAAAACATTGAAAGCTGGAGACCTTTTGCCATTTGATATCCAGTTCAAGAAATGCACTCCGATAACCAATGGTCAAAAAACTGTGTTTCTAAAGTCTGTGTAACAACTAAACATTCGAAATGTTTTCGTCTGAGATTTGTATTTACCTTTCAGATAATAATGTCTTAAATGATTTTTGACGCAAATCAAAACAAATAAAATTAATTTTGTGAAAATGTCATACATTATATACGTGCTTATACAGACAGCTATGACCTTATTTCAGAAAAATTTCGTAGACTATCCAACGATCTCTTGATATTTTGGATAAAAGCCCATTAACACGGACAATGAAAAATATTTTTAATTCATCGTAAATAAAAGCCCGAAAGTAGACTAACTCAATGTTTTGCTTCTGCAGAAAATGGCGTACGTAAGATCGTCAGAGGCTGCTACTTTGGCGAGGTAAATGCCACCGATGTGTGGTGCAAAATGGACCCCACCCTCACGGCGGTGCAGAATTCAAGTTGTCATGTGTGCGACAGCGAGAACTACTGCAATGGATCGGAAAGGCGTCCAGTGGATAAATGGGAGATTATCGCCAGTCTGGTCTTGTTTCTCTTGGCACCTCAACTACTCTGAGGCGACAGAAGAAGAAGTGGAAGTGGAAATGGAAATGAAATGAACAGTAAAAGGCACAGTAGCTTAAGTAAACCTAGTTCAATTTAGATGTAGTCCCCAGGCCCAGAAATATCAATTTGTGGAGGTGGAGCCCACATTAGTAGAGCACACCATCCACAAAACCATTTAGCCAAATCTGCACACACAAATTAATGGCAACCTCAGCACACATGAGCCGAAAGGCTGGCCAACAATCCAAATACAAACTAATACAATTTTTTTTTTTTTTTTTTTTAATGCTTACGGCATACGGGGAAATCTGGGAACCCCTTTGTGACCTTTTCCTCTATTAATTCAGCCCTTTTGGGCGAGCCGGCTAACTATGGTATAGTTAGCTTTATCAAATTTAACAAAACTTTAACAATTACATAGCAATCACAGATAACAAATAAAATGTATGATAAGCGTCAGCTTCTGCAGACCCTTGACAAAGGAGATCGGGAAATGAGATCCCTCGGTTGCCTTCTATTGAGCCTCCTTGGTGGGCGAGATCTGTTTAGAGCGCTGGCAAGCCGATTTCTTTGGCTCCAGCCTGTCATGGTATCGACTCCAGTGCTGTTTTATCTGGATTGTCGGTGGCGTTCTCCGCTTTAGAGTATAGCAGACGTTGGTGGATTTGGCTCGACGACCCGATGGAACTGCTCGACAGTACAGTGGCCAGCACGAAAACCGAACTGGTGCATCCTTACAATCAGTCTCTCAAACACCTTCGAAATTAAAGGGAGAAGACTGATCGGCCGGTAGGAGGCGGGACCATTTGAAGACCAACGAACCCACCGCTGCTGGTCCCGTAAACTTATCCCCTACCCTTAGCGTTGGAAAGCCATCAGGGTCTATGGCTTCACATTACATACTGCCAACCATTCGGATGACAGCCAACACGGAGGTGCGGCGATCCTTGTTAGATCAAGTATCTCTCATCAACCATTCGCCACTCTATCGCAAAATCATATCCAGGCAGTAGTTATTCAGCTGACTGCAAGCAGAGGAAACTTCAATGTCGCCCCAGTATACTGCCCTCCGACTCTTAGATGGACAGACGGTATTGTTGGGCAGTTCATCACACAATTTGGCACAAAGGTCCTTGCAGGTGAGTGGAACGCAAAACTCAGATAGTGGGGAAACTACAGGATGTGTACCAGAGGTAGCGTGCTGTATTCTGCACTTGCGGAAGAACGAGTCGACATCGTTACAACTGGAGAAGCTACTTCGATTTTGGAATCTGCAAAGGCTTTAGACAGCAACAAATTAGGGTGAAAGTGCTGACAGAGCTGTCATCTGACCATCTGCCTTTGCTCTTTGAGCTAGATTAAGACACCCAATCATTTAGAAGTGTTTCAAAAATGCTGTCTCCGCAAGCAAACATTCGGATCTTTAAAGAACACATCGAGGCCACTGACACTTGCAGTAGGGTAGAAGCGTATGTCGACTACTTCACATCTACGATCATTGAAGTGGCCTTAACCCCTCACCTAGTTGGTCTCACGGCCATAAGAAGTCTCACATTTTAAGCTTGGAGGCTAGGTATCTGCTCAGCCACAAAAGACGCCTCAGAAGACAATACATCGCGACAGGAGATAATAGCATTTACCAGCAATATTCGAGTACTACTAATCGACTGCGCCGTCTGCTAGCCAATAACCGTAGAGCAAACCTGGATACCTTATTGGAGAGTGCTGGTCCGGATAGTAATAGTGGAACTCTCGAGAGGCATCAGTCTTTGTTTCAGTCACCAGTTCAGGATCGAGAAGGTCTCTGGCTTAAGACGGGTGATGGGAAAGCAAGTGCTTTTGCTTCGCACCTGTCTTCCACCTTCATGCCCTTCAATTTAACGGACGACACCAATCGTGAAGCCATCGCAAATTTTTTGGATACTCCGACTGCTTCGACACGCCCCATGAGACATACTATGCAACTAAATTATGCAACAGATTGACTCATTTTGCTTACCCGCTTGATGGAGCTGCCGCAGGTAACAGAACACATCCCACGACACCAATTCGGCTTCAGGAAGTAGATCTCCTCCCAGCAGCCCGATATGCCATCCTCAGCTCCTTTATCGCTGATCGGACCTTCGATGTTGCAGTACGAGACTCTCGGTCTAGCCTGGAACACATTCATGCAGGGGTTCCACAGGGAAGTGTGCTTGGACGCTTCCTGTATACCCTGTACACTGCTGACATGCCAACAACACCGATAAAGCCTCCCCTGCTCAGCTGCTCCTGGCCACTTACACTGATGACACCGCCATGCTTGCGTCGCACTCATCCGTGCAAATCGTACGTCCACGGCCAATACGTTGGTGACCACATATGCTGACGACACAGCCATGGTCACGTCCCACTTGTCCATGCAAGTTGCCTCTATTGCAGTTCAAAATTGGCTGCATGAAATGGAGAGTTGGGTTGCCTGGTGGGATACATCCATTAACTGCACCAAGTTTGCCTGCGTGACCTTCGCCCTTCGACCCGGTACCTGCCCTGGACTTTCCTACAATGGTGGGCCCATTAGAACCGCCAACTCCCACTGCTACTTGGGTGAACACCTAGATCGCACCTGGAGAGGCCATATCACGGCAGTTAAGACTGGCTTCTGCGATCAACCAGGCTTCAGCTCTCAACTTAAGTCCGGTTGATCAAAGCCATTATAAACCCTACCTGGACCTACGCCATCCAAGTTTGAGGAACCGCCTCCAAAAATCAGCTTGACAGACTGAGGGTTGTACAGGCACGTGCTGCTCGACGTGCATCGGGACTCCCGTGGTACATCTGGTGATGTACCCCGATGTACTCCGCTATCCTAAGGGATCTCCGGATAACTCTGGTTCGTGACGAGACCAATCACCACAGCAGCCGATACGGGTGCCGATGACCGCGCACCCAAACATATTGGCAAGCAGTCTCGCCGATCCTATTCCCCTCCGACGGCTGAAGAGAATCCACCCGAACGATCTACCTACCCGTGTTATATAACCTTGTAAATAGTATAAAAAAAAAAAAAAAAACCAGAGACAGCGGAGCCCCACTTTGTATAAATAAATGCACACTCTTTGAATGAAAGTGGTTGAGTTCCACTATAATATCACTATTCTATATCTATATATGACATTCTGAATGCGATTGCTCGCACGTTCAGTTCAGTTTCTGTTTAGTTCAGTCGCGTGTGCATCGCTTCGAGTCGGTGGTCGGCGGTTTGTGGCTATATAGCGTATCTATCATGTGATTAAAATCGGTCCGGCATCCGAGAAGACAACATCTGTATTCGAGCACTGTGAGGAGTCTTAAAACTCCCCACAAATCGAGGTGCAAGAGAGCTGCCTAGCAACAGCGAAGAAGGCTGGAATGCAGGAGGAGTCAAGGGCAGCCAGGTCAAACGGGAAATGATGGTCCTTGGACCCGAGCAAAGCGGAGAGACCGGGAACTAACGGTACCGTTGGTCGGCAAAGGTGGCTCGGGGATGAGCGTCACCTTGACCTAACGGGCGATACTCTTCCCCACCATAACATCCTAAGCCGCATTCCAGCCGGCACGGGTAAGCGATCGAGAACAAGGGAAGGACGACGAAGGAGCGACGCCGCTCAGCCGACGGCGAGGACTGCAGGAGTCTATCGTTGAAGAAGTCTGTCAATAAAGCTGTTCCAACCTAAAACCCCTGTATTCTCTTTAGTCGGGCAATCACCCAAATCATAAATTTTGTGGGACGAACAAACAAACTCTCTTAGCTAGCCGTTGCAATTCGTAGAGAGCGGAACCAAGAAAAACAGTTCGTTACAGGACGTATCCGCATCGCAATAGCTATAGCTATTGCTACGTCCCTCTGTCGGTCCGTCTGTCCGTATGAACGCCTCGATCTCAGGAACTACAAAAGCTAGAGTGTTGAGATAAGGCATGCAGCTTCCAGAGACATAGACGTAGAATTTAGAAAAACGTTGTGATATTTTTCCATTTTTGAATACATCTTGTAAATTTCTATAGATTTGCCAAAAAACTTTGAATCCAGAATCGAGCACTTCCACGGAGTACCTTGTATCTGATAGTCGGGGAACTCGACTATATCATTCTATCTTGTTTTAAATTGTTATTGTAAATTAATTTAAATTTAAATTAATTGTAAGACAGACATGCCCAGATCGACTCTGCTAATGATCGTGACCAAGATCTTTTCAAAAACACAAAACTCAAACACGCAGCACAGATTCGCACTCACTCATGTTTACTTTGAGTGGAAACTCGACTTCGAGTGAGTGGAATATTGAATGAAAAAATTTAAAGTGGACTGGACGGTTTGGACGCCAGAATAAATCTTTCAAACGATCGCCAACTGCCGTGCAGTCAAGCTTTGCTTTAAGTAATTGTCCAAAAAATAGTTTCAGAGTGTGAAAATGGTGTCGAGTGTAAAAATGATCTTGGCTCTCACCGTCTTGGCCACCGCAGCCTGCACTGGTATGAAAGTTAAAGGAATTACCATTCGAATTAATGTACATAGTCTACAATTCCTAGGGTACGCCATTAAGTGCTATGAGTGCGAATCCGAGATTGATTCCAAGTGTGGAAAGGACTTTAAGCCAGATAGTAGTTTCATCACGGATTGCTCGCAGATTGAGCCATCTACCACTTTCTCCATTCTAAGCATCATAGGCCCAGATTCAAAGCCAGTTGCCAGCGGTTGCATGAAGCGGACAGTTGAGAGTAAGTAATCTGATGGGGATCGCCCATAACCAAATTTAATCGTATCGATGCCCACGCGAAACCATTCCCTCTTAAGAAATTTATGTTGAGTTTTCACTTGTACTTTAGAATATGATTCATTTCTAAAGCAGCAAAATATCAAATATCAAAGATTACAAAATAACTTTGATGAATAATGAATATGAATAATACATATGTTGACTATGGAAAAACCACGCATGATGAGGTAGGCGGTAGTCACCATCAGCGACATATTCCTCTTATAATATATGTACATCCTGATTCATTACTCTATGCTACAGCTACTTTGTAGTACTATTTATCCTATTATTTGCAGTTCCCGATATCCCACATATTATCAAGAGGTCCTGCTACTTTGGCAACATCTCCGACACGATGGATGGCTGTCAGTGGGATCCCAATGATAAGCTCAGCAAGTTTATGAACTGCGCGATTTGCACCGAGGACAAGTGCAACGGATCCTCTTCCCTGGCCCCCATC